TGTTTTTCTGCAATGCATTGTGGGACATGTCAGATCTAATTGATTCAACAGGATGCGTTTCTGTGTCTGTGTGTGTGCATGCTCAGGGTTCGTGTTTGGCCTTTGACCCACTTTTTCCGACTCACTAAAAAGAGGGCAGGGACGTAAGAAGTGAGGGATTTAAAGAGGATTTCAAATGTTACATTTTAGACGCATTCAGTGTTGAAAATCCTTCCCCTAACAACATCGCTGGATGCATTTTCTGAGATGCAAAAACGGTCAGCCACACACACACACACGAATTCAGGCACATACCCACACACCCACCCACAGAACACACACACAGGGTGATGTAGGCGATGATGTCATTAAGGATTGTGTTACAAAGGGTGGAGACAATGATGTCACTCTAACTTTCTCTGAAAAAAAGCTGCAGTGAACACAGCTGGAAAGATTCTTTATTTTCTTCCTTTCTCTTCGTTTTCTTTAAATATTTCCAGAAATATGTTGTTGTCATCCATCCACACCAAAGTCTGTATGGAAATGTAATGATTTTGTCATTGCAGTAAAAAGAAGGCATTGATCCACTGTTGCCTCAGTCAGACTGAATGTTTTACCGTGAGTGATAGCGTTTGGAATCCTCCATTCAGGTTTATCTTACTAAGTCAGGAGACAAAATGAGACCAGCAGCTGCTGCTGTGTCCATCTGAGCTAAAATCACAGATTTTCTTGATAAACTTCAGTCAGTAAAAACTTCAGTTTTCTACTGGAAAAGTTGCATGGGTATATAGTTACAGCCACAGTTAAGTCAAATACCACTGTGCCTTTAAGTAGTGGTATTTTTCATGTGCAAGTATAACTAAGATTTTTACTTAAAATGACCAATAGTTGCAACAGTAGAAAAAAATATAAATTCATTCATTTTATTTCTTTTTTTCCTATTCTTTACAGTGCTACAAACCAAAAGTCCTAACCTTATCCTGCCTGTTTCTATACGGTGGCAGTAAAACATCAGCACCAACTGAGCAGTACCCACTTCTACCACCGTGTGTGTCTTCGATTTGTTGATCACTTCCTGCTCTTTCCACGCCTGAATAAATATATATGTGTTCACACAAACACAGCATTTCAACACCCAATAATTTGGCTGTTTTATTATGACACAAAATGGCCAGAGTTGAATGATGACACCACTCCTTTTCCTGCATACACACACACAAAAACACACACGTCCACTGCCACAGTACACAGTACAGATGTGAGTGACCACATCTGGAGGACCAAACCAGATATTTCACTTATCAGGAATGTGTATGTGTGTGTGTCTGTGTTTGTGCTTGCGTTTCAGACAGAGACACACCCTCTGGCTACACTGAAATCACATCAAATGCTCTGTTGAAGGTCAACACTGTCACAATGTCTCTGATGGTTCCCTCTCTCATTCACACACACACACACACGTGAACGCACTTTTCTACCGTCCTCGTACTCTTACATCCTGAAGAGAAAATTCTGCGGGGAACTCTGCTGCTTCATCAGTGTGACTGGACAGAAACTATGACACATCGTTCAGCTCTGGGCTGGTTCTAGTCGATCTGGTTGTCAACCAAGGCGTTTCGGAATGCCTTTGTCACATGACCTGTTTTTAGACTAGACCGTACATATGAATTAGACAGACCTGCATTATTGGCCTTGGCTGCAGAAATACACCAAACCAATTCCATGTGGTCTGAGATGGATACAAAATGTTGGGGATGAAAACCGGGTCTAATCACCTCATACAGTAAAGCTGTGCTTCAGATTCTGAGCTTCACCATGGTTACGGATTTCCTTAAGTGCCTGTAAGTGCAGACAAGCAAACTGCTACAGAACTACAACCAAACTGTAACATAAATATTCATTCGTCTCATACAGTCATTTTACCACTGATGCAGGAGTTAAAGAAAAAGAGGGTCGTGACCTCTGGTGGTTGGGGGAGAGTTCCATTTTATACAGTCAGATTTTCACCAAAAACTCTGGCGGTAAAAAGGAGAAATAGGACGTAGCCCAGCTCCCCTAGAGGGTGTTCCATTTCATACAGACAGATTCTCATCACTAACTCGGGAGGTGAAACAGAGAAATGGGACACTGCCTCAGTGCAGAGCTAAAATCCAGGTCACACATCTGAAGGGTCCAGATCCAGAATGACCACTGACAAAGATTGGCCTCCTCCTCTATATTTATCTAAGGCTCCACCTCCCTCTGTCGCACTGCTCCACTTCCTGTCTGCTGGATAGTCTCCAGGACATTTGTTTTTTACACCTGTCCTGTCGTTATCCTTCACCTTTACTGCCGTCTTTAACTTCTATAATGTTGGTTTCTTGGATCAGCATGAAAGATGGAAATAAGAAAGAATGATGGGACGGAAGAAAGGAAGGTATGAACGAATGCTGAAATTAATCAAGGAAAAAATGAAGAAAGAAAGCAGAGAAAGAAGAACGGGATGAAGGAAGGGAGGAAGGGAAAAAGGTGGGAAAGATTAAATGAAGGAAGTCCGCAGGAAAGAAAAAAGAAAGGAGAAAAAGGGCAGGACAGAAGAAAGGCAGGAGGGAAGGAGTAGAGTTAATGGAAACAAGTGTCCTGGTTTCTAAAAAAGAAACGACTCAATCTGCTCCTATAACAGAAAGCATTCACCTGGTTTCCAACCCAGATCACTACAGACGCAACCACGTTTGTAACATATACAGTATGTACCTCATCATAAGGCCATGACCCCAACGAGGTCATGTCCTCACCTGATGAGATCTTTTTCTCATTACATCCACTGATGATGTCCCAGTTTGTTTAAAGATGCACTGATTCACTGAGTTTATTGATTAACCTCTTAAAAATATCCCTTAGAAACAAAAACATGGAGAATGAAGAGAAAAGTGAAACCCGAGCCACTGCAGCTGCAGCAGCAGCAGGGTACAGGATTCACAGTTCAGACCTGGTCCTCCGTTGCATCAGCCTAGACCGAAGAAACTGCATCATCATGGTCATGGTCACAACCAGCACTGTCACTGGATTTACAAACACCTCACACTTTACCTTCATCATCGCCTTTTTATCTTCATGTCCACTAGGATTTCACAACAAACCCTTCCTTTTAGATAAGCATCGTGAAAAGTAACGATATAAAAATCAACGATGAAGACTGTGAAAAATGACTTGTAGTACTCCAATTAATGTTCATTATTATGCAAAAAAAACAAACAAAAAAAAAAACAGCTATGGAACTGAAGAGACTGTAGATCTCAACAGCAGGTTGTCATTCGAGAGCTGCAGTGAGGAGAGAGAAAACTGCTTTCTGTTTCTTTAACAAGGTTGTAAAAGTAAAAAATAGCCGAGTTGTGGTTTTCTTAATCACCTTAAATAAAACTAAACGCAGAAAAACAAGCGATGACGCACACGTCCATGTTCATGACCTGGTTCTCATCAAACACAGTCAGCCAATGGCAGCAACTCAGAGTCTCTATGGATTTTGGTGAACCTAAATATTGCAAACTGAGTGACACAAACTGACCACACTAGGCAGCAGCAGACCCACATCTCTCGAGTCCCTGAGAGCTAAAATTAACATTTCCTGCAGGGACTGTGCTGTGAGGAGATTACGAACCAGAGTTTCTAGAAAAGACAAACTTACAGCAACCTACACGGACTCCTTTATTCTTTATAAATTATTTAGGCCAAGATTTAATGGGTCACAGGAAGATTGTTCAGCTGGTGTTGGTCCAGAAAAAACAGTGTAGCGCAGCAGAATGAGAGGTTTTACAGGCTGCAGTCGATCAGTTGCGGGGACTGCATCAGAGAAACAGGGAGGTTTCAGGAGCAGGAGGAGGAGGAGAAGAGGGAGGAAGGGTGGTCGGAAGAAGAGCGAGGAGATAAAGTGAGTGGGAGATCGAAGACAGAAAACAGGAGAAAGGACAAGTGAGGAGAGAAACATAAATACACTGGAAAAAGGGGAGCAAGAGGAGGAGGGGAGGCAGGAGAGGGAGCAGCAGAGGTGGGGGTTGGGGGGATGAAGGGGAGCAGCAGGCTGCAATTACATAATGAGTGTAGAAGATCTGAAAGTGGGACTGCAGAAAGGAAACCTATAGATCTGCAACATTAGAGAGAAAATACTGATGTATTGAAACAAAGTCTGATGAAAAACTGCTGCAGACACAGAGCAGGGAAAATGTACAGAAACTACACTCTGTAGTTCTGCAGTTTTTAGATTAAGAACATATGGGGGACTGAGGGGAGAGAGAAGACACACAGGACAGTGGCCGTGACTAGATAAAGAGACAGTGGACACTGGATAAACAGTCCTACGGAGTGAAATGTACTGATTTTACACAAACACAGAGGACATGAAGACGAAAACCAACACTGAGGACTCCGTGAAAACCTTATGATGTCGCATCCTAAAGGGTGGTGGGGGGTCGAGGGGGTTAGAGAGAGCTGGGTAGAAGACAGTGGACTCGTGAAGAGAGAGACACAGGACAGAGGCGTTGTAAATAACAGACGAGTTTGACCGTGAAAGTTGTCATGCTGATGGGGGGAGAGAAAGTGCAAGACCTCTCCTGGTGTTCGTCACTGAGGTCAGCACATACGTGACCACACCTTCATCACCACCACCACCATTAACAGCATCATCATCGTCAAACATACTGTCTACTACTAACACACGCAGAGGACCACCTCTGATTCCCTTTCCCCTGCCTGTTTTCAACATTCACGAACAGTTCACGTTCCACATTAAAAATCTGGACTGGAGTTTATTTCTCTGCTCTGGGAATAAAAACAGCAGCGTCACTGATGTGCACGGCTTCATCAAATACAAAAACAAACAGACACAGCTCAGCCTGACTTCAGCATTGCTTCTCATTCTGACGTGGTTCGGTTCGGTTCTAATTATCACGGTTCGGTTCGTGACTTACCTGGTGGAGGAAGAGTAGCAGCTGCTGCAGCTCAGACTGAGGCAGAGAAGAAACAGGAGCAGATATTTCTCCTCCTCATCATCAGTAACATTTCTGCTCCTCCTTCACTTCACACTGCAGATACACAGGGGCGCTTCTATGGTGTTAACAAGTTTCGCCGCCGGGCCGGGCGGAGACTGCGATTACGTAATCGTCACAGCGCAATCGTCTGAAAGCCAAAACGAATATAACAAAGAATATAAGAATATAACAAAGAAAATAATAATGATAATTTAAAAAGTGATTACTTTATGTTCGTTGTATACATTTAAAATAAATCTTCATATTTGTCTTGTAGTTATTTTGAAAGGGGTAGAGAAAAGAAGATATTTCAGGTATTGAATATATACACTTTTAGAAAACATAAAATTCAAAAGAAAAAAATAACGGGAAACACATAAATTACAAGAAAAAAAGAAAGACATACCCAAGCCTGTCGAAAAAAATGCATTTTGATTAGCTTTTGGCGGTTTTCTTTTCCAAACAGTGGAATACATTTCTACTATTTGCAGAACATTAAGTAAACATTCGATATTATAATAATGTATTTGTGGGGTCAGGGAAAGTATGGCCATAGAACAGTGTTTTGTCCTGTTTTAATAATTTGTATAAAAATAATAGTGAAGAATATTTATACATATATAGAGAGAGAGAAAATATAACAGAAGAAAATATTGCTGCTACTGCTACAACTGTCCACTAAAAGTACTGCTGTTCGTAGTATATATAATGGTATCATTGTCACTGATAATAAAAATAATAATAGCGATAATAATAAGTAGAAGAAGTGAGTTGGCATTATTTTTGCCTAAAATCTGCAGTAAAGTATCCGCCCCGCTGTGCTACTCTGTGTTAAAATGAATCGCACCCTGTGAAAGTAGGGGGTGGAGAAAGGGGAGGGGTTTTCAGTGGTTGAATCTGAATCGGCAGATACAAACAAAAAAGTTAGTGGTGGTTTAAATATAATAACAATTATAATAAAAAAGAATTAATTTTAAACTTTTAATTCTTTTTTATTGGACACATTGCTGGTCAAATTCAGAGAACATATGACAACGACCACCGGTTCAAATTAAATTATCCTTCTTTTTTTTCATGTTTTGGGGCTGTAGGAGAGAACCCACATGTGTGAATATTGGGTCACACATTCATCTTCTAGTGCTCAACCATTCAGTATCATGTCATGCCCTGGACACTTCACCTGTCAACTGCTGGCCCACACAGAACATAAACAGCCATTTACACTCGTGTTAAACCTGTGGACATGAGACATAACGACATGTGGACATAAACCAATGTTCTGCTCAGCGAGGACATTTGGTGGGTTTCAATTTGATGCTGTAGCTGTCAATCACATGACAACATTTAATCATAGGCAACAATTCCCAAAACGACTGTCCGTATCCATTTCTTATTGGTTTGATGATTTAACCATGTCTAAATTACAACTCAAACTCACACAGGAATGACGAGTTCAAGGACTGAAGGGCATCCAGCAGTTGTTGACAGAAATTAATCTGGTCTTGAAGGTCAGTCGGAGTGGTTTCCTGTGTGTGTTGGGAGGCAAGGAGCAGGCGGATTATCACTCAGATACCAGACACCATGTTGAAATGTGTGGCAGCCATATTTGTTTTGGGGTCCGGGACAGTTTAGAGGAAGTCAAAGGTCACCACAAAGATAGAGAAAATTTGAGCGGCTGTTTCTGAGCATAAAAAAAAAAATCATATTGATATAATGATCTAAAGCAGTGGTTCTCAAACTGTGGAACGCGTACCACTGGTGGCTTAAAAAAGAGGTAAGATACTATGAATGACAAACCAGTGGTGAGAGGACCCTCGGTGTCTTTAAGTCTGTCTTGACCACTGCAGCAAAGAATATACACATCTGAGCCGTAAAATCTAAATCATGTAATTTTGTTAAATATAACAACAGGTTGCCTGGCAACAGCTGACTGTTAATACACTCCCACAAGTGAGTGCGAGTATATTTTTTTATTTTGTGTGTTTTACGTGCAGCAAATAAATCGATAAAACGATCATACGAGTGAAGAAGGTGTTAAAAGAGGAGAAAAAACTCACGGGAGGAAAAGAGAAAGGGCAGCAGTTTTTCTCTTTTCAGTGAGAGACACAGACGTTTCCATGGTGAACACTATGGGATGCCAAACTGCTCAGTGAGGGAAAATGAGTTGGTTTTTTTTCTCTCTGTTCCACAGTGAGTGAAGCGTGTGGGTGAGTGGGCAGCTCTGTGTGCCTGTCAGGCTAACATTTGATTCCTTAAATTTCATTTCCAAACCCCATACTTAATGCTAAAATAATTCAACTTAAAATACATGTTTTTTAAAACTGTTAAAGTACTGTTCATATAGACTTAAAGTACATGTTTTTTAAAACTACCCCATACTTAATGCTAAAATAATTCAAAATTATTCTAAGGGTGCAAAGTTTTCCCTTTCGTCACCTTAAAAGTGAACTCCATTGTACATTCTCTATATATTCTCATGCATCTTATAATGGTCTGACCTGTACAGGCACAAAGATCAGCAGGCGTTCAAAACACATCTGTACGTATCAGTTGTTAGCAGAACTGTTTAATTAAAGTACTGTTCATATAGACTTAAAGTACATGTTTTTTAAAACTATATTTCTACGCTTATTTAAGCTCAATTCTGCAACCATTATTTACCTTAGTGTTGCTAAGAGTGGCTGTACAGTCGAGTCTGGTGTTATCGATGATGATAATGCTAGTAATGCGCTTTCATTTCCACCACTCTTGTGAATATTGCAAATTAAACCGAGAGTTACTGATGTAATTACTTAAATTATTAAGGGTTAGCAAATTTAATTTCTAAACAAACAACACATGAACATAAAATTATAAATAAAATACCAGCATTGTGGGTGAGCTACTAGTGCTTGTTGGTTGTCACATCACCATATCACCACCAGACAATAACTAGCATCTGAATCTGACTAGATTCATAATAATAATAATAATAATAATCAGTATGACCAGGACTGGAACACAATCAAAGACAATTTCACATTACTTAGTTAACTAAGATGTGTTGTCAAAACTAGAGTCTGGTTTAAGAGACAACATAAGCCAAGTGACAGTCTTACATAATCTTAGAAATGTGCTCTCATTTAGGCTTTTCCTATTTTAGGGAACAATAATGTTACTTTTCATAAAGCAGTTGCATGCTTGACACAAACTAATACACTGTCATGTCACCTCCATTGTATGCAAACTATTTAGACCACAGTAGTTTTAAATCCCTCTCTCAGTCTCAACCCTCCAGTTGAAAGGTGACTTCACTACCAACCAAGCCGAGCCTCTGTATTTACAGTAGGAGGGCTTGTTTCTCCATGTTCCCAGTACTTGGAACCAGGAGCAAAACTATTTCTACCACAGGGAGCAGATAATAAATGACAGATCTAGGGCTGGAGGAGTACCTTTCAAAGAAGACTAAAAGAAGACTTTTTTGACTGTTTATAGTCGTATTAGATCGCTCAGTGCCAACATCTAAAGTTCTGATTAGTCAACAGCCTAAAAGGACTTTTACTGAAATATATTATGAACTAACCAGCGGTCTTACGGTGTCTGTGACTGACGTGTGACATATTAATGTCTACTTTGAAGATTTTTCTCAGAAGCGAGTGTTGAATCCGGACAGTTCCAGTTTCTCAATATTCCTCTGGTTACTGAAGGTAGCTTTGGTTATCCGGCTGGATGGACTTCCTTTTTTACTCAGCCAGAACTTCCTGTGAACAAACCCGACACAAACAGTACTCGATCAGTGATGTATATAAAATGGCTGCAACACTTATATTTCAAACTTGGACTCCAGAATAGATTAGCCTTGACTTTACTGATCCCTCCTTAAGCAAATTCACCTGTAGCTTTTCATCTACAGACAAAGTGTGTGTTTCGGAACTTCAGTTGGTTCATGCTGTATATGTTACTTGCAAATGTGTGCCTATGACTTCATTAGTTAGCCACCAGAGGGTAATGTTTTGTTTGTTTACAGTGTGGAGTTAATGCTAAAGTTAACACTATTCTTAGCTGGGTTTCTTATAGGATTAATATTCTCTGAGATTCTGATCAGACTTCAGATCACTGCAGAAATCTCAGCACTGACTCTCTCACAAGATGACAACTGATTAATTAGAAATCCAATTTTTGTAACAGTAGTAAAACTACGGCGAAATTATTAAAGTAAGTACAACTGATAGCGTGTTAGCCATGCCCTGCTAATGTAATTTTCTGTGACAGATTCACTAATGTCGTCATGGGAACTGTACTCACTGCTCATGGGAAATATGTGAACAACCAGAGGCATGATGGGGAAAATACACAAATACAACTACAGAAGAATGTACGCGCGCGTGTGTGTGCGCAGATTAGAGCAGATTTCAAGAATCAGGGTCATACAGTTAGAGATTATTGTTACGATTCATAGACGTAATTGGTTTTTTTTCTCTTAAACTACATGAAAGCTGGACCTCAGCTGTCTGGAAGAAACATGGCCACCATAAGGCATTACTGTAACTGGAGAACATTTCAAACAAATCCACATCACATTGTTTGTCTGTCCACACAAATGAAATTTACCGATCACTCATTCTTTATCACCATAGTCCATGGAGCAAAGATGTTTTGTTATTAGAGCAGACAGGAGTTTTTCATCAGCTACTGCATTCATTGGTAAATTTGAATATGTTGGTTTGTGGCTATGGATCTTATATTGGTTTCAAATAGGGATGTCAGATAATATCGGCTGACCACTAATATCAGCCTGATATTAGCATAATTGTGTAATATCTGTAAGAATTGTTATCGTTTTTTTGTCCGATAACGAAAACCAAATAACGTAATGTCTGGGTTTTGACAAATAGAATAGAATAGAATAGAACAGAATTAAACTTTGTCATTGCACTTGTCACTAGTACAAAGCAACGAAATGCAGTGCAATGCAGCAAACGACATGTAAATATAGTTTTGGGGATACACAGCTGTAACTTAAAGTGAGTCACTAGATGGCAGCATTAAGCTCATTTAATTAATCTATTTTACTAATCGAGGGATTGTATGCAGACTCCTGGTGCCAGCAACTCATACAGTGGTTTGTAAAGATAAATAAATATATTATAAATATTATATTTAATATGTTATAATAAATAAATATTACCAGGCGCCTGTTCCTTTGCATGATTTTAGACTCTAGGAATGAGCCTACCAAATCAAAAAGAAGCACATGCAAGTGATGTTAAAACACAAACCATCATTACTCTACACTGTGCTGCTGAGGAGAAAACGAGAGGAAAAACAAAACCAAAGCCATATTCCCAGTGAGCTCACAGCTGCACATGGGAAATCATTTTCCTCCTAGAAAGAAAAAGTAGAAACCTCCCGCTCTGTCACCTCCACCCACCATCTCTCTTTTTCCCTCTCTCTTCCTCGCTCTTTTTTTTTTATAAAACCCTCTTATGCTCAGTAAGCATAAGTCAAGAAATAATACGTAGGCTAGTGGTGGCGTTAAAGTTAATGATCAAAGTTATATCCTTTAAAAAAATGTTTTTTTTCTGTTCTAATAAATAAAAAGTTATTTTTGCAAATGTACAAATGTCGTACAATAATGACTAAAATAAAAACTACCAAAATAGAGCTCGAGGGAGAAAAAGGTTAATATTGCCATCTAGTGGCCATAAAACAAAATACCACAGACTGTAGGCCTGGGATTACGAACCGAGCCTGAAGTTAGGTGTACGTGTTCAGATCTACTGCTGTTTACTACACTCAACGCGAAGCGTAATATAGTGTGTAGTAGTATAGTAGTACTAGTAACACTAAACAATAGATTTTAGACACATAAAAAAAACATAATGGCGACAGTGGTGCATCTCAATGTCCCTATCAGTTAAAATCAATTATTCTTTCCCTGTGTAACTTAGGGCATTTGCTCGTGTGTATTTGTTGTAAAGGTGTGAAGTTGTGACTCACATCTCCTCCACCTGCTTGGCTGGACCTTGGACCTGACCTACTACAGTCCCACTGTAGGTGTTCTTTACCCAGCCCACCAGTCCAAGGTGAAGACCCTCTTTTTCTGTGTACTGAAGAACAACAAAGGTCACGTGATGTGAGAGGAGCACGGGCTGATGGGAGTCTGAATCAAACACTCACCATTCTGAAGCAGACGCCTGTAAGAGGAAAAACAAAGACAAAAAAACAATGAGGCTGAAATTGAAAGTTTAATTAAAGTCAGTGCAGCCAAGATTGTGTTTCTTGTGAGTTTCATATATAAAATATAATTTGTGTGTGTTTCCCCAAGAACTCCACAACTGAGCCTAAAGTAGTGATTAACTTGCATCATGTCCGTAATACACAGAACCTATTAATTAATTCAGTGCTATTTTCTATCTATGGCAGACTGTTAAAATCCTACAGGATAGCGTAGCCTTTTTAAAATCAGTTTTTGTATTTGTGTTGTGTCTGATTTCAGTCTGTCTTTCTGCAGCTGCAGAGCTTGTTTCTAAATAAAGCCACAGTTCATTTTACAGCAGTGTGGCAGAGAAAGAGAAGACCATGAGGAAAATGAGGAAACTTACGAACCCTGAACGTAGCCAAAGACTTCAAAATCCACCGACACCAAATTCCCTCCTGCTGATTCACCGGCAGACATGCTGAAAAAAGTAAAATAGAACTGTCCCTTTAACAGAAGAGGAGGGAGAAGTGCTGTAGTTCCTTCTGCTCTCTCTTTCTTCTCCTCTGTCTCTCACTTTCTCTCTCTGGTCACGTGGTCCTGGTCCGTGTGGACAAATAAAACTACACTCATAGTGTTGAGGGGTGGGTTCTGAACACTGACCACAGACCAGGGACGAACCAAACAAGTTTAAACCGATAATCTTCTGGCAACTCTGTGAAAGATATATAATAAGAACAGTTCACTAGTCAGAAGAACAAAATCCATTTGAAGTAAAAAATAATAATAATAATAATGACAATGAAGGTCAAGACAGAGAAACGACAGCAGAATATTAACGCCAGCTTTTATCATTTCTTATACATTTAAATCTAAATATGAGAGAACATTTTGGACGCGTTACATCATAATTTATAAAATATGACCACTAGATGTCAGTCACGCCTTAGTTTTATCGAACAATTAAAAGCAGGATGATGGGCTCTGGAAGTTTGTTCCGAGTCTGAATGTATTATTGTGTAAAATTAGTTTCTGTCAATCGGTTAATTCCATAGATTTTGTTATTACCCATAATCCCACCGTTTACTGCTACAAACAATATGTTGAGTTTAGTCAGGGTTGACAATTCCTGTTTAAAGATGATTATGTTGATTGTTATTATCATTATCATTATTATTAATGCTGTTTTTACAGGTTTTCTTCAGTCCTTCAAATATTGTTGATTTATTTGATTATACATAAACAGAAAACACATGAATACAAAACCATCTTATTATTATTAGTTGTAGTTACAATAATATTAATGATAATAATATTGCAATCTATCATCATTGTTGTGGTTGTTAAATTGTTGACCACCGGAATGTTTTCATCCACTGTCGTGGTTCATTTATGTATCACCGGTGAGTTCATTGTTTTATTTCACTCCATATATTAAATTCAAATGTCAAGGGGGTCAAGTGAGGTCAACGGCACTTTTGTCTCTAATGTATGAAATAAATTAACTGTTCACATCATGTTTTCCCTATTGTGCACGTGTGTATGTGCGCGCACACGCGAGTGAGTGTGTGTTTCACACTTGGCTGAGCCTTCTGTTTGACAGCAGTTGCTCCCACTGTGCTGGGTTTTTAGGTCGCAGTGTTCTTTCTGCTGCAGTGTCTCGCGCACACACTCACATACACACATACACACATACAAACACATGTGTGTTTTTGTGAGGGCTATACTCTGTGTGCGCTGTGCAGACAGCTGTTGTCCAATAGTAAAAAGTATAACACATACACAGGAATTTTAAGGATTCTCCACCTACACACACACACAAACACACACACACACACACACAGAGGAATAAGCAGTGAAGCTGCAGGGACTTAATGAGACATGACAGCCTTAGATGCATTAGAGCTGCAGAACCAAATTACAACTGGACGTACAACACGACGCAGTCCTTTACATCATGTTTTTCTACATCTGCTGGTCTACATTTATAAACCATGTCTGTATTTACTAGTCTATATTATTTATATCTATGCTACTAGTCTATATTTAGACCAATCTGTTTCTCTTTACAATCTATATCTTTACATTTGGCCTCAATAAACGGTTTATATTACTACTAATTTTATATGATATATATGACATTTTCACCTAAAAACCAAATTAAATTCATTTGACCTGCTATGCCCAACCTGCATTAACTTTGCTTCACCCACTCTTGTGTGTTACAGATGTCAGAGGAGAACAAGATTGAACTAAGACAGCAGATGGAAGATGATTAACACAAACAATCAGTGGGTAGAACTAAGGTTTTTTTCAACAGTCACCTCTAGAAAATGTTTAAAAACAGATCAGATCTGCAGCAACCTCTTGATTGTATGATGCCATTCTGAAACATGTCTAAATAAAAGCTACAGAATTTTTACAGAATTTTGTGGAATCAGAATTTTGTGGAATCAGAGTCAACCTTGATTCCAACTTTCTTCTTCTATTATTAGATTAAGTTTTTTTTTTTTTGAGTATATAAATCAATTTTACCTTTATTCTAAAGCCGTAGCCTCCTGTTACAGTTTTTAAAGACCTGTTTCCCCTCTGTCAGCTGTCACACAACCAGTCCTACACCCTCAACATAATCTGTCCCAATGACGCTGTGTCTCAAACACTGACGTTTGAAACCCAAGCAGCTTGAGGTTTCTGCCCCAGCTGTTGCTGTGGACAGGTACATGAACTGGACATCCCTCAGAACTTATCTTTATGTGCATGCCTTTCAGTCCCTCCCCCTCCTTCTGACCTTTGTCTGAACCTACTCATGAACTCTTGATGAACTTCGTTAAAGGACCCAGTAATCTGCGTTCGCTGAGCAGCAGGTTGTACGGTGGCCCAGGAGGGACAGTTTGAACTGACTTGCAGTAGAAAAGACAAAAAGAGACAAAATCATAAAGTGACCACCTGAACTGTGACGCCAGGAACAGCTGAATGTCAGGTCTGGGTGAAGGTCTGCAGAAGAAGAAGAAGAAGACAGAGAGTAATGAAACATCCTAGTTCATTACTGTGACTACACTAACACCACGTTTCATTGGTCAGTGTGTGCCAGAGGGCGCTAATGTTTTGGTTTGTAACAGACATTTAGTTTGGGTGGCTGTGCCACTACATTTTGTCTGGGTTTGTGTTTTCACTGTGCATCTCTGTGTGTTTGTGTTTGTGTTTATTACGATGTGTTTATGTGTGTGTTAATGCGGGGGGCGGGGTCCTCGTGCGGTTGCTATAAATAGCAACATTTGAACTCCAGCTGAACCCCACGCTGCTGCGTCTTAGTCTGATCCACTTTGACAGTTCTCACTGAAACACTCGGATCTGTAATGATATCACTGATGGGAATGTTAGTGTACACAAGCATAAGCAGGGGGCGTCCTTCTGCCGTGGTAACTTATAGTGACAGACTGGAAACTGCTGTCCACTGTCCTCTTGTCTTCATCGCCTCCTTCCCTATACCTCTGACCCCTCATTAAAGTTTAAGTCACACAATGAAAGTGTTTGCTGACGATGTTAGCATAAAAGAACAGTACACCTAGTCAGTACTCATAGGTGCTAAGAGCGATGCACAAAAACAGAGTTTTAGGACATTTAAAAGTATTCAAAACCTATATAACCTTGTACTCTTAGAGTTAAAACTAGGGATGTCCGATATTAACTTTTTGCCAATATCTGATATGACGATATTGTCCAAACAGTTAATTTCTAAATCTGATATTAACCAAATACAGTACAGGCCTGGTAATATTTATTTATCTGTACAAACCACTGTATGAGTTGCTGGCACTAGCATTCTGCATACAATGCCCTGCTTATTAAAATCGATTAATTAAATGAGCTGCAATACTGCCACCTACTGACTTTCACTTAAATATACAGTTGTTTATACCCAAAACTATTTTTAGGGCACACATCATTTGAAACCCAATTATCGTAGGAAAAATCCATAACAATACTTACAGATATTACATAATTATGCCAATATCGGGCCGATAATATCTGTCGGATGATGTTATCGGACATCCCTAGTAAAGACGTCAGTTGCCGACAGGCTTTGTCTCTGACACAAATGTAAATATGCTATTTGTTTTCTTCTGCCGGTCTTTAAACACAAAAAAAATTCTACCAAAACTTTTTCTTTTTTATAAATCAAAAACATTGACAATTTGAAAAAGAGCATTGTACACACCTGACACTATATTCAATTTTCTAATTCTATCATGGTGCCTGCATGACAGTTCTTGGTCGTGATCACCTGTCATATGGTGAGAAAAACTCAGCAAATGCTCTTTTTTAAAAACAAGATCTAGAACAATGTTTCCCAACCTTTTCTGAGCCACGGTACATTTCATTAGAAAAATCCCACAGCCCACCACCAAACACAAATGTCCAAAAAACAGTATATGCAACAAAATATATTGGTCTGCTTTCAATTTACTTACTCAGTCCTAAAGTGCTTGGGCCTGTGTAGTTGACCGCATCACTGATATACTTGAAGGAAATGAGGAAGGAAACATGAGGATCTCCTTCAAAAGCATTCTGTGCTCAGTGAGAGAGAAATTACTTGTAGCATTCAGACCAGCTGAGTGAAATTTGATTATGTTCCAGGGCACACCTGTGGCTCACTGGTGTACCCTGGCACCGTGGTCCAGAATCACTGCTGAGTTATAACTGCAGAAAAAAGAAAGAACAAATCACAGAACCTAAAGACAAGATTTTAGTCAAATAAAAATGGATTTGTTCGTTATGACTTAAACACAATTTGAAGTTACTATTCAGGAATCATGTCACTTATTTCACAAAGTGCTGCTTTGATCCAATCTTAATATGCCGCAGTGTTTAACAGATGGTTTGGATTGAACGAATTATCAAAAAAAAACACACACATTGAATAGAAAACATATCTTACTGCCGCCGAAGGGAGTCGCTGTTGTACCAGCACAGAGCAATTGTTTTTACTGTGTGACTAGTACGCAGAATGATTTCAAACAATTTTCTACTCAGAAACAAAGACGCCGGCGTACGATTGTACGTGCGCGTGCGCGAGACAGAGACAGAGAGAGAGAGAGAAAGTGAGATTATAGTAGAAAAGATAAAGTCCCTGATTTATGTTTTAGATATTAAAGAGTTTAGAGACCAAAGCAAAACAAAAGATTGAAGATTGTAATAAAATCGAGAGGAAGCTCCTCCTCTAATTACTCTCTCTCTCTCTCTCTCCACCGCTCTCTCTCCATCCCTCCATCTCTCTCTCCCTCTCTCCCTCTCTCTCGGTCTTTATTTGTCTTCAGGATTAGGAGCAGCAGGACCTTCTTACGGACTTCTCTGGACCTTCTACTGATACTATTTTTTTTGTTTTTTTTGTTTGTGTTTTAATCCCTGGTTATTTTTACTGGATTTTCCCCTGGATTTCCGTTTTATTATATATTTTGGGGATTTTTTGGAGGGGGACATGGAGGACGTGAAAACAGAGCACCGGTCGTCCTCCTCCTTCATCTCCACCACCTCCTGCTGCGGCTCGTCCTCCACCTCTTCCTTCAGCATCAACAGCCTCCTGCAAAGACCGGACTCTGTTCCTGCAACGAGATCCAGAAGCTCTTCAGCAGAGTCAGACCCGGACCCGATTGTGAATGGAGCAGAGAGGCAAGAAGACCCTGAGGCAGAGGGCGAGGAGGGAGGCGCAGGAGAGGAGCACAGGAGCCAGAGGAACATCCTCGGTAAAAAGGATGCAGAAAATGATGGAGAAGAGAAAAAGAGCAGCAAAGGGAAATACGAGAAACCTCCTTTCAGCTACAACGCTCTGATCATGATGGCCATCAGACAGAGTCCGGAGAAGAGACTGACCCTGAACGGGATCTATGAGTTCATCATGAGGAACTTTCCCTTCTACCGGGACCAGAAGCAGGGCTGGCAGAACTCCATCCGACACAACCTCAGCCTCAACAAGTGCTTCGTCAAAGTTCCGCGACACTATGACGACCCGGGAAAGGGCAACTACTGGATGCTAGACCCGAGCAGTGACGATGTCTTCATCGGCGGCACCACCGGGAAACTGCGGCGGCGGTCCGCCACCTCCCGGGGGAAACTGGCTCTCAAGCGCGGCCTCCGCTTCTCCCCGTTCACTGGGACCGGTAGCGGAACCAACCCGGTCTACTGGCAGTTGTCTCCCTTCCTTTCCCTGCACCACCATCACCACCATCACCACCACCCGAACTACAACCCCCCCACCTCCACCTCTTGTTCCCCCCTTCTGAACCAGGGCCCGGGCTACAGCTCTCTGCTGCCCGCCGTGGAGCCGCTGACTCCCGGGGAGCTGAGTCGCTCTTTGCCGCTGAACCTGAGCGGGACCTACGGACTCCTATCCGGACAGTCCTCTGCAGGGTACTTTGTCTCAGGGTCACAGACGGTACCAGGAGGAGCAGGGCCAGGACCAGGGCCTCCTGTCCCTTCTGCTCCTGCGGTAGGGTTTAGCTGCACCTCCTCCCCTAGCTCCCTGATACAGGACTCCATACGGAGCGGCTCCTTCTCCTCCACCTTTCCCAGGCTGCTCGGGCCCCAGAGGAGGGTCCTGACTCCGAACACTTATCTCAACTGAGCCCAGAATCCGGCCCTCAGGTCTCAGACCTCAGAACACCTCAGACCTGGAGACCTGAGCTCACCTCTGACTCTGCAGGACCAGGACGCGCTTCAGACCGTGCACGTTAACAGGAATATAATATTAACTGTCAGTGGTAAATATCAAAAGTTCAAAAAAGAGAAAAAGGAAGCCTAAAAGACTTTTAAGGTTAAATGCCATTTAATTCAAAATAGGTTTAAAAGGGAGAACTATTGGTTTTAGGTTGTAAACTGAAAATAAATTGTTGCCAAAGGTAACTTTTTTAAAAAACGCAGCAGAAGAAATGCCGTTAATTTATGTCTGTGTATAAAAACATTTTCACTGTGATTGGAATTTTTGTTATTTATGCATCATATTTATTCTGTGTTTTTACATTTTTTGGAAAAGGTGACCGTATTATTATTATTATTATTATTATTATTATTATTATATCAGATTCAATGTAACCACGACAATCGTAAATGTTAAAATAAAAACATAAATAAATCAGGGGTCATATCTACATTTTAAAAATTACACAAAAAAATAAAATCATATTTTTTAATAAATCAAACAGAAGTTTTCATTATTATTTACCTTGTAGTTCGTGTTATTAAAATGTCGGATCAGATTTTTCCGGTTAAGACAAAGGTAATTTCATTAAACGTTTATTTTAAAATCATTTAATTTTTATTTTTTATCTCGTTTCAAAAAATTAATAGACAACAGGTCTGACCTACTGCAATGTGTGAGTTTAACAAAGGTTCAAAAAATGAAAAAAATAAAAAAAAACTGATGCTAACAAACACAAACACACGGACGAATTACCAAATTTAGAAAAACATGTGTCGGGCGAATAGGCTAATAATATATAAAAATAAATAAATACGGTGATATTTAAGGAAGCTCTAAAGAAAATACACCTATTTGTGGTACGTGATTTCAGCCTAATTTGAGTAATTTTTTAGCAGATTTAGAAACTTTTTTATTTTAAACTCCAAACTCTGTGGCGCGTTTCCGTCTCTGGTCTTTCTGAAGGATTTTATATATAAACATATATTGGAATACGTTTTACATTTTGCATAAACTATATTTTAATAATGATTAAAATGAATATTTTAGCTTTTAAACGCACAAACTACTTTGTATTAGTTAAAACGTTTTTAGGCAGTAAATTGTGAATTAATCAATTCCCACAGACGCTGGATGATTTAAAAACAAATAAATCAATTAAAAAAATAAATGTAATGACATTTGAATATTAATGCAATTGATCAGTTTATGTTGGTTTTTTTATTTCGATATACATTTTTAATTGCTCAATTTTAGTCGGTATTCAAAAATTTACAAAGAAAATTGTAAAGACTTGCTTATCCATTCCATTCTTGTATAATAATAATAATAATAATAATAATAATAATAATACCGTTACAGTGATGTTGTTTGAAACTGGTTTGTGTCTGTTTTTCGCTAAAAACACATTTTAATTAAAAAATAATTAAATTTTTAAAGTTTCTGTCTGGTTCTTTTTATTTATGTTGTTAACACATTTTAGATCAAAATGGAAAATGTATTCAAAGAAAATATTAAAATATTAAATGTTGTGTTTCGCTTGTGTTTTATTTAGGACGTGTGCGTAAAAACAGGTTACACATTCAGACAACAATTAACCCTCAATTCAATTGAAATTAATTTAATTCAATTTTTATATATTCTTTGTGAACTTGCACAGAATTTTGTTCTAGAAGAAATTATCAAATTATTAAAAAAACCAAAAAAGTGATAAACTGCCCTTGTACTATTTATTTATGGTCTGTATTGTCATTGTACCACGGGGACACAACGAAACGGAGCCTAATATGATAATTAATGAATGAAGGAGCCCAGAATGGAGAAAAATAACTCAAGTTGAAAAATAAAAAAAATAGCAACAAACTTTTACTGGGCTGCACCATACAGCCTACACGGCCAGTGGGATCTAGACGTGTAGACCAGTAAAAGTCTGACCTCTCCAAATTGGAAGGTCTGTTTTACAACTCATAGAAAAATTGAGTAAAGTTTTGCTGATGTAAATGTACAGATCAGCAGATGTGGTTTGATGGATCCATGTTATGCTTCTGCTATAGTTTTGAACGCTACAGAAAATACATTTTAAAAAATAAATAAATATAAATATATTTGTGCGTGATGAACTGAGTCAAAAAGCAGCAAGAAAAAAAAACAACTAAAAACCAGCTTCACAAACACTGAGGAAAAAAACAGTTCAGAAATTTAGAAATAAGAGAACCTCAAAATTGTTAAAAGTGCAGACATCCTAATCGAGCCTGATGTGCAGTCATTGTTAGGTTGGATTTGACCAAAACTAACAAGAAAATCTAATTAGATGTATTTATCGTATAGTTTCTATTTACTCACAATTCACATTTTTAGTGTGAAACCTGGGCTATTTAGTTGAACACAATGTTGAGGTTCTCACAGGAATTGAAGAAAGACACACACGTACAGAGATCACCTGCAACAGTCTTGGCCTCTCTTGTTTTCAGTTTTTTTTAGCCACAGTAAAGCAAGTAATAGTTTTAAATTCAACTAATTAGAGTTTTTTCCACATACCTGATGATCTCTCGTGGCACAGTGGAGCCCACGGCCGCAGCACAGTGCTTGGTAGTCACTGCCCTTGATGAGCACTCTGGGACGCGGTTCAGAAGTTTGCCGAGTTCAGATCCAGCTCACAGAATTATCATTCCACCTCCTGGATGAGGACAATGTAAACACATTCAGATCTGCAGAGGAATTTGACAATTTTGTGCATTTGATGTAACTGATGCCTGTATCACTGGCCTGTAATAAATGTACATTTTATTGGAAAAGGTAAAAAAAAAATCCTACAGTGAAACTTTACATTTTCACACCATCCCTCAGACATTATTAATAGTTATATATATCTTTCTTACATCATATGTCTTTCATTATGGTTTAAAATTTAGGTGCACCTCTTGGAGATGTTAAACGTAGTATATTCAAATTTGAAAACATTTTAGGCAAAATGTCTTGCACCATTTTCCAACTACTAACAACTGGAAACAGAGTCCAAATAATTTGATTTTTTAAGGCCCAGTTGTTGTTTTTTTTTTTGTTTTTTTTTCATGTACTGCTCCAAAAATACTATTGTTGAAGCAGAGAAACGAGGGAACAGTTGTGTTCAATGACTGTAGTAACATCTGTCACTGAAGGTCATTGATGCTTAATTTTGTCCATACGGTGTTTGTCAACTGTGTGAAGGAACAACAGGTGCAGGAGCTGAGTTTACTGACAATATTCTGTTTCACGTATATATATATATATATATATGTGTGTGTGTGTGTGCGTGTGTATTTCATGTATACAAACAACTATTTTTTTTTTATTTTATTAAAAAGCAAAAAAGAAACTAACAATTCACTATTGTGAGTGTGGACACGGCCTATTGTTTCTCCCTGTATTTGTGTATCTTTCTGCCTGTGTCTGATTGTTTACCTGGTGTGTTTAGTTGTAAGGGGAATTTTCAGTATCAACGTCTCTGCATCGCCGTACCCAGAAAGGTCTTTTTTTTTGTTTCTCCCCGTCTGTGGGTGTCTCTGCAGCTTTAAGCAGTCGCTCGGCCTGTGTCTGGTTTTGTGTCTCTGTAGTGAATTTAGGTCAAACTCTGCCTCCTCCTCGTCTCTGCTGCTTCGGCAGCTGCGTTTGCCTCACAGTGGGTGTGGCCCTAACAATGATGTCACGCCCGGCATTAACAGGTCAGAGGAGTAGATCAGCAGAGAGGAGCCGGACACTGCAGATCTGGACAGAAATAATCTGGAATCACTTCTCCATCGTGACGTTTATATTCAAACATCCACTGTTTATCTACTGTGATGTGAAAACCAGGTTTAAAAAAAAGCTGTAAAGATGTTTGGATCTGCTTTTCTCAGAACAATTTTACCTCACACAGGCCCAGAAGCTGCTGCTCTGCCGCTGCATTCTAAATTTTTTAAATGAAGAATTACTAAAGACTTTTTTGCATCACAGACAGTTGAAGTCAACAGAAATGCTAATTGGATTACAAACTCAGTCGTTAGATGAAGCAATAGCTAAACAAACCTCCAGGAAGGTCCTGTATCTGAGACTGAAGATTATCAGCTAAGTCTTGCGTTAAGAGGCTAACGATAATTTTTTCCTGGTGTGCGTACTGAGAGACTGTCTGTGGATGACAGACCTCCTCACATGTTCTCTGGGACTCTGGGAAAATCACTATTAATTTAGTCATGACTCTTTTTAAATGTCATTATTTTTACTTTTTAATAAAAAAACAGAAGATTTTTTTTTCATATTTGTTCAACTGTGGACCCTGACTCACAAACTCCAGCACAAACTCATGGTTCAAAATAAAATGTAATATTGTTGTTTTTTTCTTTCTTTCATTGTGTTGACGTAAAATAAATTGCTAAAAACAAATTAGAATTGTTTGAATTAAACTTTTAAAGAGACCATTAAAAGAAAAAGGATAAAGACATTCTAAAATGACAAAATATGAGATTAATATAGAAAAAATAATTTCAGTATCATATAATTAAATAATCACGTAATTTAAACATATAACTCACCCTTAGAAGTTGAATTTTTATCATAGATTTATAGTCAAATTATTTTTTTCTTTCATTTTATTTATTTTTTGTACCCTCAGAAGTGGTGTAAAAATTCCGTATGTAAATATTGTACAGCACCAGACTAAACTGAACCCTACCTGAGCAACACTGACATCACACTGACCATGAAGTCAGTTTTGTTAGTTTTGTGTTAAAACATTTTAAAATATTTTGTAAAATTATACCAATTTCAGAGTGAAAGTCTGATAGAGATACAGTTGGAGGAATTTCTCCTATGATTATTTTGGGCTTTTCCTCGGATCTATCCTAACCCTAATTTTCAACGCCTAATTTTATTAGGCGGTACATCAGAAATGATGCACTAATCCTCAATGTCAATACTGCGGACCAGGTCCCAGTGAAGAGACAGACGGAGAGTGCGTTGAAACTTAAAACGAATATATTTTTCCGTCAGTCACCACCATTTATTTTGTTTGCTTTTTTTTTTTGCCTGACAAACAGTTTTAGTAACGCCACAGATCAGCAACAAACTCCAGGAAACAGAAAAAAAAACTCACAGGGAATGGTGCCCCCTGCAGGTCACATGCACTTCCCGCTACAGTGGCGCCCCCCGGTGCTCGCCCTCTCTCCCGCCTCCTGGCGAAAATCGCGTGCAGACTCAAGAAAAGGCTTTGCATGTCGCTAGTGCGAGGTTGTGACCTTCCTCCTCATCGCAGAGTGGGGGTCGGACAAGTCGCACTGAGCACGCTCAGTAGCGACTTCCAGAGTAATGTACAGGGGCTTTCGTGACATCACTAATGGTATGCTACACGTGGAGTCACTTGTCATTCAAATTTCTCTATTCTGTGAAGTGATCTTTTCTTTTCGGACATTATCATGTCAGTCCGCTGAGTCCGACTCCGCCTTTACACCACCTGAGTGATAGCACCACCCTCCAGTTTATGCCGGACAAAAAGGTTTGACATTTGACCCACTGCAGGGTTTTCTCAGATGATCACAGTCAAATGTCTTAGAAATGTTGGACATTTTTAAGGCATGTGACATTAATACAGCGGTGGTGGGAGGAGTCTAAGGTGGGCGGAGCCTGAGATTAGTGACTTTAACGTTAAGAGTAGGAAACAAGTGAGATCAAAGAGGATTAGATGAAAAAGCAAACTCTTTTCTTTTCTTTTGGTTCAGGTCTAATCCTCAGTTTCCGTCACTCACACTTCCTGTCTCTTCCTGTCTCTTCTTTTGTGTTTGCAGTGAAAAAAGGCTGAAGGTCAGAGGACACAGGTCAAAAACTCAGACGCCCACAAAAGCTGCAGCAGATCGTCACCGTCTACCGACTAAAATCCCAATAATTGAGACAATTTACCTTAGAACGGCAGTAAAGGATTAGTCAAACAGATGATTTTAACAGGGAAGTCTACCACTCCAACACGGAAAAGAACAGCAGGGATATTACATCAGAACGTAGGAGCGTGGAACCACTGCTGCTTCTTAGAATAGGTTTGGAAGGACAGGCTGGGCAGTAGGCCTGTCCATCCCAGGGTCACATGTGGAGGCAAACAGCCATTCACAGTGAGAAAAAAACCTCAAACTAAAAACCTTAAACTCCTCAGTACAAACTGACTGTACATGCAGAAAAAAAAAGCACATGCAGTGAATATCAAATCTGCATAGAGACAAGCCACTAATTAGTCTGCAGAAAAGAAATTGCAATTCTGGGGCAGGCAAGATGGAGTGGAAGGGAATCAGTGATGGGGTAGAGTGAAGGAAGGTAGTTCTGTATGAACTATAAAGAACTGAGAATGTTAAAGAGAGTTGGGAAGGAATGTTAAGACTAAGGACAGCGGTTGTCAAACTTTCTATACTCTGTACCACCTGAGAAAACATGGAGCTCTCTGAGTACCACCATGATGACCAACATTAGAATATAGCAGCGTAGGCCTTCTCTATTAGCTTAATTATTTAATTGAAAAAGTAAACATGAATGAATTTTCCCCGCATACCACTAGAGAACGCTCGTGTACCACTGGTGGCACACGTACCACAGTTTGAGAACCACTGCCCTAACTGTATGTCCAAGGGTGGATTTTAAAATAATAATGTAATTAAATATTTATATGTATTATATTTAGGCTGTTGTATATGATATAAGGGTTATGTTTAGGTTTAAAATAAATACATAAAATGAGTTATTTATAAAGCTGAACCGTTGTATTTTGTTCATCCTTAATAAATACAATATGAGAAAAGTTTAAAAAACACTTGAAGTTGTTGATATTTGAGCAACACAACGACACGAGAACACCATGCTACACTGGTTAAACAATATTATTACTATGGACTTAATTTTTTTGTCAGTGATCAATGACTTTAAACCACATACACACATTTAAACCAGCGTGTGTCATGTGTTTGATGGTGTGTGATGTAATTGGAGTAAGGAGTGTTAAAGTCAGCAAAGGGGAGTGGGGCTGGGGAAAGTGGGCGGAGCCAGCAGCTACCTTGACCTTTCCTCGGAGGTCATGTGTTGAGGTTAAGTAAACAGGTCGCTGGTCTCTGACAGTCAAATCCTAGTCACCGTGTTGCTGCAGAATCTTCAGAGAATTCTGTTTTTCTTAAGAAGCTGGGACGAAGTCTGACCCCTGACCTCTGACCCAGCCGCCACACTGAGCAACAACTGTGAACGACATTTTCATCTGTGAAACCATGTTTGCTACACAGACAAAACCCAAACAAGCTCTCACCAATGTGGTCCCACTGTGATGACATCACTCGTGACATCACTAACACTATCCCGTCTATTTGGACTGCAACTCTACGTCTCTACACATCTTAATTATGTCTTTATGTTCAGCCTAGACCTGGAACTGCTGTCTTTGTTCAACTTTTCAGTTTGTTCTGAGCTTCACGCTGCCTTAGCTCTGCCCTTTGACCTCAGCCAGCTCTTCCTCCACTGTTTTGCAAGTATTTCCCCCTCTCTTCCTCTGATAATTGTTTGAGCAACAAAAGGAATATAACCCAGCTTTTCAGGAAACTTCTTAAAGGAAAAGGCAACTAACTTGAAGCCTGAGTGGTGACGGAAACAAATTCCCACAAAAGAGTAAAAATTATGACCTGTTCTATAATGTGCCAACCTCTGAGCTGCACCGAGAAACAGTGTAAGTAAAATAAAAACACCAACAAAGGAAGATAAATACAGAGGAAACAGGTAGAGGGCAAATTTAAAAACTGCTCCTTTGAGACACAGATTCTGCTGAACGCTGCCTAAACCACTCCACACAGGAATCTGGGATTTTCCATCACAGCAAATACAATTAAACACAACCGTTAATTCACTGCTGCCTCCATTTTAAATTTTTATTTATTTTGTGACTTCCTTGTTTGAAAAACTCTTTGTTATGGTTTACCTAAATGGCACAAACTGACCACAAGAGGCAGCAGACAAGCAGAACATGTGAATCTGTCAGCTAAAAATGCTAATATTTTTTAGCTATTTTGGGTAAACCATTGTTGAGGCTAAAAATGTTTCCTTATCTGTGTCAACTGTGTGTGTGTGTGTGTGTGTATACAGTATATGCACATGTTTTGCCTCTTCCTGTTTCCTCTTATCATTTTCCTCATTTCCATAATAGTGATGACTTCACCTCTGTTTCTGTAGTGATGGTCTGTTAGAAAGTCTGATGAGTCTCCTTCACCGCAGCATTTCCAAACTCCACCACATCCACATGAGGACTCATCCTCCAGGAGAAAGGAATGGTCAGCAATTTGCCGCGAGGCCGTGAAGCGCCGTGTCGTTTCCTTCAGAATTTAGAATCAAAGTAGTTAGTTAGAGGCACAGCGTTTACACAGTTGCCTTTGGTTAGTCTTGAAACACAGAATGAGGTTGTCTTAGATCTGCTGCAGTAAAGTAGGGGGATATATAACATATAACTGTACCTGTTGGTAAGATTGAATTCTAATTACAAAGAGGCTGATTTGGTAAAATAATAACAATAATCCTAATGAAAAATTCAAATTGTCATCATCATAACAACAAATTATAATTAATGGTCCATTTGAAAAAGTAATATTGTTTTTTTGTCAAGTGGGAGCAGCAGGAAATTGCATTTGACCGTGACCCGGAGTATCAGCAAGATGACGACAATGCTCTGTTGTCGAGTGAAACGAACAAGATTATTTTTAACACAAACATAATAAAATATCGATTTCCAAAAAAATGACGGACCAAAACATGAGAACACGAGGTCAGTCAACAAGAACAGGAAGCAGGTTTCCAAGTGAACGAGAGGAATCTGAGCGTGTGTTTTCCCTCTGGGAATTTCTGTGGTTTTCCTGATGATCAGAATTTTACTGCGTGTTTTCCATAAACATGTTCAGACATGGAGAAAAAAAAGAAACATGAAGCTTCTGTGGTTTTTAACCAATGTCTGAGGGTTTTCTCCTCCTGGTTTTGATTACAGACAGAGTGGAGATGCAGCAGCGTCGTCTCCAGCTTCACCGTCATCTTCTGGTCAAAGTATACTATTATAATTATTATTATTAACAACAACAACAATAATAATAACATATCAGGTGTCTCCATTTACATTAAAGTCTGTTGTAGAAAAAAAACTAACTGTAGACTGTTGTGGACGAGACTGATAATCTGGACAGCAGTGAGTCCTGGATTATTTCTAAGCACAGCCACAACAGCAGCAGTGAGGAGGAGGGGGAGAAGGATGATAATGAGGGAGGAGATATGAAGGTCTGCAAAGTCAAAGGTTAAAACTCCTCTAATGATGAAACTAAAGAAGCAGCAGATGAGAGAACGCCGTGTTCTCTGCTGCAGGGAATCTGAGAAAGAACCGATCGATGCAGATTCTCCGAGTTCAGGATCAGAATGTGAGGATAGATGGATGAAGGAGGGATGAAAAGACCAGAAGAGGAGAGGGCCAGGTTCAGGTTACATCTTGTTGTTTAACACGGGCCGATAAGTTAGCTGACTCGAGCCGTCAGCGTCCCCTGCTGTTGGAATCAGTTTGAGGTTTAGAGGCTGGATTCCTGCACTGGCTGCACACAACGACCGACTTTCTGAATGGACTTTGGTGTGGGAGAGTTAGAAAAGATGAGTCAGTTAGTGAAGAACAAACATCTGGAAACAATGACAATCAGAGGAGAGGAAGAACACACATAAACAGGTTTTTGTGTTTTGCAGGCATGATACATTTCTGAGCCTCTTTCTCTAACTATTACAAATAGATCTATCTCATTCAGTGAGGACATGCACAATGGCCCCACAATGAGTGAATGTTGATAAATGGATGTAAAAAGTCAGCTGTCGTGAATTAATTTAATTTTTTAAAAATTAATTATTTAAAAAAAAAATGTATTTATCCTTTGTTTTCCCAAAAAAGTCCATTGAGATTGAAACACTTTTGTGATAGAGAGTCGTCACCTAAGGAGCAATAGTAGTACAAGTTAAAATACCTTCAAAAAAAATATAGAGAGAGAAATGAAGAAATCCGTTTTTTACTGATTAAATCTGGATTAAAATACTTCTATTTTTGGCCTCTGATTATTGATCATTCACAGTAGGCCTCTGCCGCCCCCTGTTGGATCCTTCCACAGCAGCATTTTACAGCTGAGTTTGTCTCAATTGAATATCTTTTATAGCATAAAAATATGAAGGAGAGAAAGCTAATACTACAGAAACCATGGTTTGGTTGTCTAGCTATGACCAAATAAACTGACATTTTTTGACAAAAACCAGTAAACAAATAAAACAGCAGTGGACCTTAGACTCCATCTTCCTCTACCTCTTTGGTGTGTGAGAAGAAAGTCACTTTTACTGAGAGGTTGATTCTTCTTAAAACATGTTCCCGTCCAGTTCGAGCCACCTCTTCACTTCCTGTCACCTGCCACTGTGTGTTCTACGGTGTGAATCCGTGTGTTTGGTGCCCAGTGACAGTGACCTACTGACCCCAACTGTCGCACTTCATGAATGTTTCTCTCTCATACAGACACGCAGGCACACAAACACTGAGACACTATCCTTGACTGACCCCGTCGGCTGCTCTGTGTAGTGAAGCAGTTAAAGAGAAAGAGGTGCATTGTGGGTAAAGTGTTTCCTTCTCTTTTTGTGACTGCTTTGGTTGGAGTTGCCTTAGAATCCTTAGAATCAGAGTTTATATTTACTACAGACAAAGTTATTCTGACATTTTCATCTCCACAGACTGTTTAAAAAAAAATTGTGATGTGACGTTGTTGTTGTGATGTTTTGCGACCTATAAATTGACTCTTCATGTTAGTGCTGTAGGCAGTTATTACCTGTTGTTGGTTTGGTCTGGGTATTTGATAAGAATCACATCAAGTCTGAAGTAAAAGCTCAAAGACAATCAGCCACTCAATACTGCCCCTTTTGTCAGGAGTTACCTATTAAATAAAAAAAGAATATGTTTATATGCAAATGTAACAGTAGTTTAGAAAAGTTTCACTATATATTTTTTAATGTTTTGACAGTTGACTGAAAGTATGTCAAAAAAATAATCGTCATATAAAAACAGTCCCAGATTATGAACAAGTCCTTTGATCCCAAATTAAGGAATTAAACCGGAGCCCAGTCAAACAAAAGGTTCATGGACAAGAGTAGGTTCACGAATGGATGATCAAGCTTGAAGCAGGACACATGGTGTCCACTCATGTTTGTCCTGATCTCACGACTAATTTCCAATAAATGTAATAATATACAGACTGAGGCCACGTACTAAAAACACCCTTATACCACACACTCCAAACCAGCAGCGCTGCCCCCTGGTGGTTCTTAAACAACACTTTTGTAACTGGAAGACCATGTCCATCTGAAACCTGTCTGTGGTTTGGTGTTTACCACAGAATTTACTCAGAGTTAGGGTTTAGAAGGAACGCAGTGTCCAGTCCCAACCTCACAGTGGGGCTGTGAGCAGACTCAGAATTTAAAGCACAAATAATAAAAAAAGAGAGAATGCTAAATGAACGGAAAAAAAAAATTAAAACACAGGTAAAGAAACCTAATAAGTTAGGGGTCTGACTTGGGTTTGTTAAGGTTTGTATTGTCTGTGTTGTGTAGACGGAAGATTGTGAGCTCCATACTGCAGTGGTGCCGCCGACCCGCCCAAGCCAGTTCTATAGTTTGCGGATGAAGAAGGCACGCCCACACCTAGTCCATAACCCGCCCCCAGACCACTGCCGGGTCGCACCAGGCCAGGGTTAAGCATTGTGCTGTAGGTGGAGGCAGGATACCCCAGGCCCATACCTGTGTACGGTCTGTGGTGGTTGTGTCCGACAGAGGGAATGATCACGGACTGAAGGTTCCGTCCTGGAGTGTTAAAGGAGAACTCCGGAGGAGGGCTGCTGGGCTTGGACGGCGTGGATGTCAACGGGTCAGGCTCTGCTCCTGATGGCATAGGCAGAAGAGGCGGTGGCGCAAAACCTTCAGACACGCCCATATGAGGGTTAGGGGACGATTGGAGGGACCCAGTGAGGAGCGGACGGGTCCAATCGTCTTTAAAGATCTGAACCGTCAGTGTGGACACGAGGGGCAGCAGGCGGTTTGTGACATGAGCCAGGACCAACTGTTCGTTAGCATCACGACGAATGCGAACATGGGCGGAGCCAGCCTAGAAGACAGGTGAGGTTAAACCAGCAAAGGAGGACACATTGTACTTTTAATACAGGTGAAATAAACTAAGTAAAAACTTTAAATGTGTGTCCATGTTTTCAAGTATAAAAATGAATGTGAATTGAATTTTATCAGACTGTAAATGGTTAGTGCTCCCAGCTGAAACTTTGAAACATCACAGTTCAGATTTCGGACGTCAAACGTACCAGAGACCCAAAGCCGACTGTCCAGAAATGTTCATTGCGGACCTCTAACACTCCTTCCAGAGTCGACACCTGATCCAAAAGACGAAAATGGTGAAAAAAAAAATCAGCCAATCACAGATGTTCATTCAAATTAAAATAATATTCATGGAAAAATATACAGTACATATGACAGAATATTTTTCCATTTTTGGTGATTTTAAAGGGTTTGTATAAATTGTTAGCGAATTAAGCAACAACACTCACCTCTCTGAGCAACTTATCTAGCTGACCAATCACGTGGGAGGGTGTTGTCTGATTTGAGTTCGCAAAAAGAGCATCAATCAGATCAGACTCTTACTCAAGAACAAATAAAAACAAACAAACTGTTTCAGAAAAAGTCACAATAGTTTTTTTTTTACCTGCAGCAAAACTTTGCCGCTGTAAACACTCATGGGATACATAGTGCCAAAAATCATGAGAGCGATGGCGACTGCAGACGCTGTGTCCACACCATTATAATTACTGGAAACACAAAAGAGCAGAGTAAGGGACGTTCAGTGTCCTTAGTCAGTTCTGCAATACTTTATCTATTATCCACAGAGGGTGTTTTCTAGAGTAAATTAAAAAAAATCCCCCCTTTTCCTTACTTCATCTCAATGAGCATGTAGGTGATGCACAGTGACATCGCTCCAGCCACGTTGATTAGAACAAATGGGTTCATCCGAGGAAGGAGGACACTGCTGAGACCTGGAACAATGCCACACACACTGGACACACACACACACACATTAAAAAAGAAATTCACAATTACAGCTGCTTTTTAATGATCAACTCAAGCAGGGTTAGTGTTACCTTTCACAACAGTGAATTCCTGTTCCTTTATCGTGTCTAGCACGGGGCTAATTTTTACTCATCAATAAAAAGTTGTAGTGGATCACAGACAATGAAAACACCAGTGTTTTGCTGGGATTTTTTTGAGAAGCGGCTGCAGGTCCCCTGTCCACAGCGCCACTAAAACTGTGTGCTAACCCCAGGACATTTATTATTTTGGGTTAAACAATGGTAACAGAGAGGCTATAATTTGAGTCTGACTGAATTTTGAAGAAGTGTCGGACCACCTCTTGATGTTCCAAATCAGAAACCCTGAACTAATTCATACAGTACAAGCTGTGATCGGTCACGGCTCTGATCATGTGACTACAGGCTGTGGATGTCAGTGAGAACATGAGTCAGAAAGAGACTGTACAACAACATCATCATCATTAGCACAATGGGGCTTAATGAGCAGTTGATAAAGTAGTGTTTATAAAGGCTATGACAGTGTGTGCTGGACTGTGGTGGTCAGGGGGCTTAAACACATTTCCTTCAAACGTCCTTGTCACGTGATGCAGGTAGTTTGAGTTTTGTTAACGCTTCAGCTCTTTCATCCACTGCTTAATAAATGTAAGATTTATCCCTCTGATAAGGAATTAACATCCAATACAGTCACCTGGCCTGGCAGGATACTTGAACATGGGGCAATGTTCCCATCTATTCCCCAGTAAAGAACTAAATCCAGTTCTGCTTTAATCTCAGTCACTGCAATAATATAATGTGACATTTTTAGACTTTTTGTGTTAATCCACATACACAGACTGATGGGATTACAGCATCACTTGATTGTCTGTTGGCTCCACACTCGTGACCTGGCACCGGGGTTGGCCATGTTTGTTGGGCTTCTTCGAGGTAGTTCAGGGGAGTCACGTGTCCTCAGTGGACATGGCTGAAGCAGATGCCAGTGTCTGCCTTAAATTGGTCTATCTGAGTCTAACCTAGTCTAGGTCATAACCAGGTGCAGAAAGTAACCAGGATTTTTACCACAAGTAGTGTGGCGTTAGTCACAGCAAACAGTAATAAAGAGCACGTGGAAAAGTGCTGTTGAGCTCAGTATTGTCTACAATTATCTGACAAAACCATGCTTGAGAGCCAGAATGAAGGGCAAAAATGTTAAAAAAAACTATGGCGTAGCACCGGCAAATGTAAACAGAGCCGTCTTCATTGTTGGAATAAGGACTTTCTTATGGTCACTATTTTTGGGCCTTGTGACAGACTGGTGAACTGTCCAGGGTGTAGTCCGCCCTCATCTGTTGATAGCTATGATTGGCCGCAGCCCACCCCCACCCTGCCACCTCGCAAACGATTAGAGAAGTATTAGAAAATGGATAGATGGATGTATTTCTTTAAAAAGTTGGATGACTTAAAGGGAATACATTTTTTCTTTTTGAAGAAGAGAGTGAAAGACAAAATGAAGCCAGATATGGTAGAATGTTAGCCTTCTATGCTGCAGGCTCAGGTTTAAATCCCCCTACCACCTTCTGACCTTGTAGCCCTTGTAAAACAAAGAGAGATGCATAAGGACAGCATTCTGTGCACTGACTGTTGTTGTGGCAGGACGTCTAATAAAGGAAAGTCAGTCTCCTAGTGAGAGACCGGGCTAAAAATATGAAGCAAAACCCGAACAAAGATGCTTAGACTCTTTTTTTTTTTGCCCCAATCAATGGTCTTGATAAAAATATCTTCCCTTTACTGCGTATACATACAGGAACACACACAAACATAGTTGTAAGGTCGGTGAGGACAACCGAGCAGCTGACTTTATATAACCCAGACCCAAAAGAGGTTAAACGAGGATAGACTGTAACCCCCCCACCAACACACACACACAAAGGAAACTAGGCTGGGACGTCCTGTTTTCGGCCAATCACAGCTCAGTGCTGCTGCACGGCTCTGCAGGCTGTGGCCCTGAGTAACCTGCTGTCTGAGTGTGTTTGTCTGAGAGTGCGTGTATGTGTGCAAACACTGCAGGCTCTATCCACTTGATCCGCGTTAACTCTCCGAGAGAAGGACGTCCGTGCCAACGGTGTACACGTTCTTCCTTCCACTTGCTTCACAAACACTCATCACATTTAAAGAAACTAATTAGTGATTTGACACTGGTTCTACATCCAGCTCCAGTTACAAATCATCAACTAAACTAGGTCTATTTCTAATGCCTACTCCACCTTTGGTGGATTTTGTGTGAATGCAAAGCTCTGTAATGACGCTAGCATATCAGTTCAACAGTTAAATCGTATTCCTTAGCTACCATTGGGTGAAGCAGTAAATGTAGCTGTTCTCCCCAAGTGTCCCTCAAACAAATGCTTGTCTTTCCATCTGCTTTTCTGCCACTCACTTTAAATGCTTGTCTTTCCATCTGCTTTTCTCCCACTCATGTTGCTAAGGTTGTTGTTTTTTTCTCCATCATTCCTGTAACAGTGGCAGATAGCTGCACACTCTGAGTCTGGATCTGATGTTGATTTATTTTTATTATGCTGTTACTACGTGTGATTTAATGAATATGAAAAATCTATGGCCTGGATTGGTTAGTGCTTCTCCCTTTCAGCAACAGTAGCTGTAACCGACGGTCTTTCTTTACAGAGTTTTGGTTTAAACTTGCACCCTTGTTCTTCGCTCCACCCACACATCTTCAGTTCCACTAAAAAAGACAGCGCATTCCAATGACACTAAGATTGACACATATTTGAGAGGTGTCTTCATTGCTGTTGGACAGTTTACTGACCTTCGGACTGATCATTAAGAAGAAATGGGGAAGTCTACGTGTGTGTGTGTGTGTTCTTTTACTGTACTGCAGAAAACTGATCTCGTAGCTGTTTCTCAGAAACTAAAATCAATAAACCAAATCAGTTTCTGCCGCAGGAACTAGACTGTGACCCTGTGACCTCAGGTAATTACAACATTAATAGTGCACATGAGGAGCAGTTGAACTTATGTGGCATCCGTGTGTGTGTGCACATATACACTGTAGACACCGACTGAATGTTATCAAATGGAAACATGTATGAAAACAGCCGGTGAATCTACACCACCTCTTCATGACAACATTTGACCCAATTACCTTGATTAAACACAAACCTGCTTAGATTAGTGATAAAGTACTTTATGATCGCCTAAATGGCGACTTTACCTGCGACTGAGATCGGCCACATGTTCTTGAAGCCAACTACTGCTCGCAGCTGGAGAAAGAAAGCAGGTACAGAAAGAGGGGAAGTTAGATTTTTGTGCACACAATATTTACAACTTTCTTCCATAACTATCATCTTTGGAAGGTATTGTGACTGCCCCATCCCATCCACAGAATTGGGCTCTTGAAATGACATTAAAAAAAATCTGGTAGCCAACTAAACATTAACCAGTACCCTTATAAAACCTACGTCTGCTTTTGAATTTGTTCATCTTACTCATTCATTTTTCCACTTTTATTTCTCTGTAATTGAAATCCTTTATTTGTACATACTTTGATGACACTAAATGGCCACACGAGGCAGCAGAACAGCAGCTTCAGTGTCCGTGTGAACTTGTTTATGTCATTGTAGATGTAAACCAGCATCGCTTTCCTTTGAGTAAAGTAGCTTAACTCTGTCTTTAGTTAACCACTGTTAACCACTGTATGGACTGCTTACACCTTGACAGTGACACCAAGAGAGCCAGGATGAAATTCATTCACCTCAGAGACAGAGGGTGCGTGCATGCGTGTTTGTTTTTCCGCACAGTGCCTCTGTCTAAACAAACATTTTAGTGTAGTGACTTATTTATGCGTGTGTGTCCTGGCTCACAACATCACCACTGTCTGGAACTTTGTTATGTAACACACTTTATATCTCCCTGAATCCACTGTGTGTGTCTGTCAGTGTGTGTGTGTGTGTGTGAGTTGCATCCTAAAATGTCAGATGTTAAGTGATGTTGAGGCTGCTGTGAACGCATGAGTGCACACGCCCACAGTCGGTGCCTACTGAGTCAGAGAGGAGATGAAAAGAATAAAGGAGAAACGAGAGGAGCAACGGCAAAAGCAACAGCAACAAAGTGTCCGAAAATAGTTCTGTCCTCTGTCCCACAGTTCACTGCATGACCCCTGTGTTACTACTTTGTCAAATAGTCAACATTACAGTAGGAGCAGCCGGTGATGCCATCTTTGTTTTTCACTTCCAGTCTACAGGTTGTGACCTTTGTAGATTATTAAAGCTGCAGAACCTAAACTGACCCCGACTAACGTAGCAGGAGGAGCAGAATGAAACAGAAACGGAGCGTACCTTCAGAGACGTAAGAAAACGGTTTGTTCCTGACCGACAGCAGTGTCAGGAGGTTGAAGAAGAAAGCCACAAAGGTTCCGACCAACAGGCGACCACTGCAAGGAATATAACAGGTCAGAGGAGTACAGCACAACTGCACAGTGTCATGGCTGAAGATATGGGAACCTCCAGCTTTTCTCTTTATGGATTTTTCAATATCACTTGCTAACTATGTCTGCATTTGTTACAAGAGTGATAATATTTGTAATTCTTCTTTAGAAGAAGTGACCAGCAAGCACCTCTAAGTCATGTGCTCACAAAAAAGCACAAACATACCTTGACGTCCTAGTCACTTAATTCTTTTTACAGCAAAAAACATAGAATAAATTGTATTTTTAATTAAAATAGATAAAGACGGTGTGTTCCACAGCCTCAGTCCTCACAGCAGTTTGAAGTATTTGGGTCTAATTCTTTTGTGTGTCCAATAATGTACTTGTGAGTAGCATCACAGTTTTGCCCAATACAGCTATGGAAGTGTGTGTGTTTGTACTCACGTGTGCACCTCAGGCTGCTCCACAAAGCGTTCCACGCTGAAGGTAAAAATAAACAAAACAAACAAATCAACAAAATCAGATGAGTCAATGTACAGTGGTGAGCTGGGGCTGCTGATGTTCAAGGTTCAAGAGTGAGGATTAGAATAAGGGTCAGATTAGGAAATCGATTATATGAATGTTACGTTCTCAGAAAACACAAAACACAACGTGTGTATATGTGTGACTGTTTGTGAATGTGAAAGGCCGAGACACACACACACACACACACACACACACACACACACACACACACACACACATACACACACAGAAATTGATAGACACAAATGGAAGGAGACACAGTGTAAACAGCGAAACAGAAAACAAAAACACACAGTGCGTTTCCTTCCTGCTGCTCCTCACTGTCATTCGTCGCTATCAGTTTCACAGCGCGCGCACATGAAATACACACCTCTCCTTCAGGATGAACAAGGCTCCCAGCTGGACCAGGACAGTGGAGGCAAAAACAGCCACAACCTCCAGTCTCTCAAACCTGGACAAAGAAAGGAAAGGAAAGCGTCAATAACATCGTTGCGTTGAATCCACATTAGGTGGCTAATGTTACGAAAACCAGAGACACGAGATTGTCACTGAATATATGACACATGTACTTGTAAGCATCGTATTTTTGCATCAACATCATCACTTCACTTCATCGCGAAGCCTTTTGTACGTAAAACACAGAATTTTTGTTTGGTTTGCAACGCAATTAAGCTTTACATTATATCAAAACTGCATTCAACAACACAACAACATTGTGATGGATATTATTAACACAAAAGGCATAATGGGCAAAGAAGGTAAACAATCCAAAGGTCCTTTTAAACAATGACTTTGCCAGTTTAATGAAAATCTTGATTATTAAAATAAATCTGAATATGAGAATTACTTTTTCTGAATAAATATATAATTGTGACAGCAATAACTAAGTCTGTACACAGATCAATTCTCTAACAGATGAACTTTAACCAAATGAGTTCCCTCAACCTGTTGGGGGGGGGGGTCATATGTTGTTAGCTGTTGCTGACCCTGCGACCTCAAAGTAAGGACACCGTGAGGTCATGAGGTCAATTCTGCCTCAGTCTGATGAGCAGCTTCGTCTCAGTGAGCACTCTGCTGGGTTTATGCACTCAAAGATGAGTGTTAGATATCTGATTATCTGAGCGTCTAACTGTACAGTGGCCCATCAATTAGGTTAAAGCGGAGATGAGCACCGTGGTTTAACACTGAAGATGAAGATGCTTTTAACTTATTTTAACAGAAACTGCCGCCGACCGTCAGACAACGATTCTTCTGGTTTGGGTGTGTGGGTGTGAGTCTGTGATGGACTTAAAGTTCTTACTAGATTAAAAATCCTAGGTTCAGGACTTCTGTGTGACATACTGTAACTTCATATCAACATTTCTGAATCCAACATAAAAAAAAATCAACTATCCATGGGGACGGACAGTTACAGTTCAGATAGAGTGGGCACACACACATCCATACACACAACAGTATAGGATGCCAGTGAAGCGGAAGAGCAGATTCACTCAATGGAACATCACCCAGTCACACCTCTGAGTCAGAGGTCACCTGAAAATAAACCCACACGATGCAAATGGACTTGTGTGTGTGTGTGTGTATATACATAAATAATCAAACACACTTTAAGTGGAAATCTTGATACTGTTTCAGAAACATTAAATTGACAGCAGGGTGTTATTTATTATTTCCACGACAGCAGCAGCCAGCGTGAGACTACATCTCTATTTCCACAACAGAAATTGCTGCAAAATAATGCTGGACAATATATAAATACATATTTCTATATGCAATATAGAATACAACTAAAAAAGTTATATTGATAAATATAGATTTCAATAAAGATCAGTCTTATAAAATAATATGTAATATCATTGCATATAATATAAAACGGTCAGTTTGCCTGTTTCTAAGCACTTCTCTTGTAGAGCTTGGCTATAGTGCAGTACACTCACCCAAAAGTGTACATCTGACTTGGTTTCTTCATGTGGACCCACGAGCTGATTAGACATGTGATCAGACTGGAGGAAGAGAGAAGAACAGGCAAAAGTCAAAAAAGAAGGATTGATAAAGATTCCACACACAGAGGTGTGTTCCTTTATCACTCGTTCAAAGATTAACAGCTAAATAATTTACTAATAACTTTATATTGAATGAACACCAGCGTGACTGACAAACGTCAAATCAACTTAATGTATTATGGTAAAACAGTAACAAGAATAATGAGAGCCTCACCTGAAGAGGTGGAAGATGGTCAGGTACGTGTACGCTGTTAAAGCTGAAAAAAAAGACAATCAAAAACTAAAGCATCACTTATTTCTGGGATTTACCATCACTTCACTGCTGGATTATAGACTTCAAAAAACAACTTTGTTTTTTAATAATTCTGGACTAGGTTTGTTAGTTGTACTGAGTACTATTCAGGGGTAACTATTGGAGAACTAACAGTAACAGGAAGGTGCACTCTTAATCTGCAAGTCTCTGTTTGCCCTAATCTTGTTTTTATTTGGGTTTGAATGGATAGAAGGACACAGAAGGAAGACAGCCAGCAGGTAAAAATCAGTCAGTCAGTCAAATAAAGAGAGTAGTGAGCTGGATTAAATACTAACTGACAATCCGTGAGTGTGTGTGTGTGTGTAATCACAGTGTGGGGGTATGAGGCAGATTTAAGCAGCTTTACGCTCAGAGGAACATTTTGTTTCCCCAGCAGCAGCGTCCATGTTTGTCAACCTGACACAACGTAATCCAGAGAGAGAAACGGTCAGAGAGAGAGAGAGAGAGAGAGAGAGAATAAATGGTGGGTAACTTCCCCCAATTTTACTCCCGATTCCATTTTTATTTTGACACATTCTACATTTTACGAGTAACAATATTCTTATTTTGCTTGATTTTAATATTTAATATTTTGAGATGGTATTAGAGTTTTCTACAAATGTAAATTCTGTTCGGGCACAATTTAGACTGGGTTTTGAATTTCAGTTATAGTGATTGCACTGGATGACTATTAAGGAGCAGTTTTTCAGGTGGAAGAACATCTTGTTTTCGTCTCACTCTGTGTCACTGTGATAAATCTGAATTAAGCACTTAAACACATTTAAACCTACTGCTGGAGGCAGTGGGTGTTCCAAACGTACATGTACAGTCATAGAAAATCACTGATTTTCTCTATGGGCTTTGGTGGGAATCGTGTTATTAAACAGAATATTAAAACAAAAGCTGACATCATCACTGAGTCTGGAACAGTCTGGATCAATAGCTGAGATGAAGTTACTGAACCTCAGCACTGATCATTCACTGTGGTTGGATCAGTTTTCATACAGACCACAAGACACACGCACGCGTGCACACACACACAGTTCAATTACTTTATTAATGTCCTACTTATAAACACCGACACCCAGAGGACGAGATGCAAACCAAACACATCAAACTGTTTTCATCTGTAATAGATGCACACACATACACGCGGGCACACACAAACACACTGAGAAACGGAGAGAGAGAGAGAGAGAGAGAGAGAGAGAGAGAGAGAGAGAGAGAGCGAGACGTCCCAATGGGCCTGAACTCAACGCCCAGAACAGAACTATGTATTAAAATCCCTGTGTTTGTTTTTCGGGACTGATCGATGGAGGAAGAGAGAAAGATTGAGGAAGGAAGAAAGCAAAGAAGAAAGGATATAAAAGGAATGGATGTGAATTTATAAAAACAAAAAGTCCAGAGGAGGGAAACGAAAGAAGACAATAAATCAGAGGGCTATCAAGGGACACCAAAAAACACAATAAGGAAGAAATAAGGCTGTAAAGAAGAAGAGAGGACAGAAGTGAAGCGGTGGATAGACAGATGAGTGAGGAGAAATCTGAGGACGAGGATGAATATTTAATGTTGTCTGTTGAGGAGCAGACCAAACACACACACACTCAGACACACACACAGTATCACCCATATAACACATTAACAGACTTTTTGGTTTCTTCTTTGTGGTGTGGTATAGTTTGGAAAAGCACTTCTTTGTTATTATGGTAAGGCAATGCCGACCAGCAACTTTTTAGGTACCTCATCTTTGGAGTATTAAATCTGTGGTATTCAATACTATATATATAGAAGAATCTGCTCATCCATGCTATTGGTGTACAACTAATTTCAGTATAACTGAGCTCAACACAGTTTTACTACCTGCAGCGAATCCCGCATTAAAAAGTCTCATAAAAGTGTATTCACTGCCCTGTAACTACTGCGGACGGATGCTGTATGAACTAGTATGAGGGCCGATGTGGGATTTAGTGTGAGAACGGTATTTTTTAATACTACTGTGACTGCGTTTGCTCTCTCTCGTGACTTTCGCATAGACTCCTGTATCTGGTTTCACAATAAAAACTGACAAATGAAAATTGTTAGCATCAACAGACGTCAAAGATCAGTTGCACATTCACATTAGCCCTCCTTTCAAAGTTTCTACTTCGGTCTGGTTTTAATGAGTTTAAGTAGCCTTACTGCAATTTAAATTAAAAGAAGTATTTGATCATTTCTTTCCGAAGACGAAAAAAAAAACGAAGATGCACAAAAAGTAACAGAGAAGATCCCTATTTGTGTGTGTGTGTGTATTTGGTCCATTGGGACAAAAAGCTGATGTCTTTACTTTGTACAAAGCTGAAAACTGATCCTGTTGTGCACTGCACAATTTGATATGTGCGCACACACACACACTTCTGAAGACTCATCAACAGATTATGTTTCTGCTACAGTGCAACAACATCTGCCTAAACAGCACTTTAAAACACACACACAGAACGATTGAATGAACAACATTATCAGCACGGACTGTGCTCCGAGCGCCCCCTACAGCTTAGAGCTAGCTCAAGTGCCAAGTGGCTTCTGGGTCGACGAAACGTGAGCGGTTTTTTGAAAAAAACTCATACAAACATTACACAGGGGCCAATCAGTGAACAGATTCTGAAGGTGTCAGTAGATTGAATTAATTCTTAAGAAGGAAAATGTGTTTTTCGTGGCGTCTCCTCTGGCATCCACGTTCAGCTTGTGATAATGATAATCAGAGTCGGACTGCCTCCTGTAGCTTCTTAAATACAGTATGAAAAACATAAATGACTTTTGTTTTGCAGAAAGGATGTTAACAGTTGTGACCAATCAAACCATGATCTCTCCTCATGTTGTCAAACTGACTCTGGGTAATCCACACACTGATTACAATTTCCTCTTTCCTAACATTCACAGGTCGAGCCTGGCTTAAACTGCCTGGATGTGCTCAGTGGGGCGTACACGTGTGTGTGTGTGTTTGTGTGTGAGATAGACTGTGTGTGTGTGTGTTTGCAAACATCCTGACAGCCAAAGGCAGAACATGAAAGGCTGTGTGCATACACATTTACATGGATGTTAAGCCTTGAGCCATGAGCTAATGGGGCCACAGTGTGTGTCGGTGTCTGTGTGTGTATTTCTAGTCTTGTACAGTGTGTTCCATATAACGCAGTCACTTGAGAACATGATATTAGACCAACACACAGAGTTCATAAGGACACGAAGTGTGTGTGTCTGTGTGTACACTGTGTGTTACGCGTTTTATGCTTCATTTAGTTTAAAGGCAGGAACTGGAGGCGTGGAATGTTCACATTGTGTTGTTACTTTAAGTGACCACTACAAGAAAGGCAGAGTCGACTCTTTACAGAGTAATTAGTGTTTACTCAGTGAAGTGACTGTTGGCTAACTGAACTGACTCTTAACATTTGTAGGTTGTTTGCGACAACCGATTGCTACTGACTGGTCTTCTGCATCCGTTAACTGCCGGTTCAGTGACAGCAAATTTTCAAACAGTTTATGCATGCTCCTCAAAATGACAACTGTGTCACCTTCCAATATTTGTTCAATATCCCTGTCCTGCACTTCCTGTTTGCTAGCAACCTAACACCACAGCCCAAAGTGTGTGTGTGTGTGTGTGTGTGTGTGTGTGTATGTACCCATGCTGTTGGTGGAGCTGCACCACATCAGCAGACAGCCTGTACAGAGCAGGTTTAATGATCCGAACAGCAGAATCCTCCAGGACTGAAAGGCAACCGACAAAAAGAATGTTAAATACAATAAAAACAGTTTAATACATTCATGTGATGAAAGCTGTTCTACAGTCTTTGGTCACAGGGTGGCGTTCCATGCTGTTTCACGTGGTCTGTTGGTGTCAGTGAGGCAAATCTGTATATAGGCTTTCAAGCCTTTTGGTCTTTCTCTGTGGACATTGATTTGCGAAAGCGAGTGGAACCTTTTGAATGAGTATGACTAACAGTAGAATGACCATTAGGAGATTCTAAAATGACTGAAAGCAGGTTTATCTGCTGAGTCTTTTCAAGAAGCTAAATTCATTTTCGGTGTCCTTGACAACAGCCTTGGTTTTACTGAGCCAGTCTCTGAGTCAATGCCTGGTTCTACCTGCAGGGGGCACTTGGGGTGTTATGATATTCAAAACTTCAGTTTATTTTAATACATTACTTTTAAACCTATTCACTGGTATTTGTTTTAAGCACAAAATGGAAAATTGTTCTATATATACTTTTTTGAGCAGAGGTATCTTTTGTAAGAACAGAGGAGTGTTGGCTTTTATCTAGAGTCCCATGTTTAGCTCTTATGTTCCTCCTCATCACACTAGCCTGAATGGAGATCTAGCTCAATTTTTAATGAAGCAAAGACACATAAAACACAGAGTCGAAATTTTCCCAGTGTACAGTGTGCAGTGTGCAGTGTGCAGTGTGTGTGTGTGTGTGTGTGTGTGTGAGACTATGTGCTGGCTGTCACTTTATGTCAGACTCATGCAACGCTGTGGTGAGCTTGCAGTGCTGTGAATTCTACCATTACTGTGGCGTTCTGTGTTATGACAGGACTGCAGCGTCTGGTGACAGCCTGACTGTGTGTGTGTGTGTGTGTGTGAGCGTGCACATAAGCATGTGTGCCAACAGAGAGACAGCACTCAACCCCAAACAACCCCCTAACTCTCTCACACACACACACACACACACACACACACAGACACACACAGTGCCAAGAGGGCAAATCAGTTAATACTTATTCTCTGCTGCCCCCTTCTTACTAAATTTACCGGTGTGGTAGATTTGTTGTAATGTATTCTTCCTGTCATTTTTATGACAGGAAATGTGATTGCTTGTTTCACAATGTACTTTACAAAAAATGTACAAAATGTACTTTAATAAAATACCAGAACATTCCTAGAAAAAAGGACAAAATCTAATTTTTAAATCTAACTAACAGCAATATGAAGTAGTCCAATGAGTCTGGAGATATCATAGTCCTAAGCGATTTTCGTTGTTTTGGCTGATGTTGAGACTGGCCCCTTGCCTTTTTACCAAAAGATAAGTGTTGTTTTCCAGTTGTCAACCTCTTTTTGAAAAAAGTAAAATTGTCATCAAGCACTTGATGTAACCTTTTTGAAGAACTTTTATGACAAACTGAAATTTGTCACGAAATAAGGTTAATTACGATGTAATTCATTCTTCATTTTGTGCCATGAAGGGATGGTTCAAAGAGATAGATATGTCACAGGTCTTTAAGCTCTTGAACATCATGATCTCAAGTCTCACCAAAGAACACACTTGAGTATCTGAGCAAATAGGATTACTACAGAGTAACACCAGACAGCTCACCCATAATGAGATTAGGAACTCTGATTAAGAGTTGAGCAAAAAACACAGAGGAGGTTTCTCTTACCCGTCTGTCTGAGGAAACCAGTCGGAATTCCTGTAGAAGTTTTCCAAAAATGGATCTGTGCGTCTTCCTGAAAGGATGGATGGTTCCCTAATATATATGAAAAAAATCCATTGTCAGATGTCGTGTTCCACAACTGAGTGGAAATCCAGGTTTATTTCATCTATGATAGTTTAGACAGAACGCTAGTCTAGACTATGTACACCACCACCACCCTGTGGAGTATTTGTGTATTACATCGACATTGCCGAAGAACTCATCATCTGACCACAATTATTTCATGTGTTAAGACTGTGTTAAAAATATGTACATTGTCAGTGTCAGAAAACCACCCCTACACAATAGATATTATAATAGAGAAAAGCAACACCAAACTAAACGTGAGATGACACCAAATTGGTGGAACTTGTATGAGTTGTTGTTGGACAAAAAGGCAACCATATTCATGCAAAACAACAAAGATCCCAGCTATCTTCAGAGTACATTAGTTAAGTAAAGATATTTCATGGTAACCAGGGTCCTCCTTTCATACAAGCTGTATGAATTAATCTTTTGGAGTAATTCTATTCCCAAGTGTTTTATGGGACTATTTAATTTCGCAAAAACGTTATGTTCGATCATTGTCAGTATCTTAAACCACCACACCAATAAAACAGAAACAGAAAATAGGCTAAATATATTCAATCTCAGGGTAATTCATGCAGACTCTCACCAAGACGTATGTGTCACATTCGTGCTTCTTCCTGTGCAAAGGGATGTCTGTGAATAGGGAAAAACAAGTTAGATGTTACTTTATTACAAAAATGTCAAAAGGAACATTGCTTACCATCTGCGTGGCCTTCAGAGCCAGTAGCCTTAGACTTAAGGGTTGACCAGTGTTGGACTGCACTTGCATCGTAGCAGTTTAACCTGGACTACCGTAGTGTCGAGAACAGTCCAAATGCCTATTTCTAAACAGCTTTGGATAAAACGACCTGGGTAACTGAAAGCCGTTAACAGACTTTATAGTAACAAATGTATAACCTCTTTAGATTCTTATTTGATGTGGGTTGGTTTAGACGTAATGGTAGTAATAAAGAGATAGACTGTACAACAAAAAAGACAATAAAACAGGATTTTAATGCAAAAATTAAAAAAAATAGGTATACAACTAAAGTTCTAAGAATTGACTTTGATCGTCAAAAATCGGTTCGGGACAAAAATCAGGCAGACAGTACACGGACAAACGAAAAACCATAACGTTTGCTCGAAAGTCTCAGCAGAATAGCTTATGTTGGTACTCTATGGGTACGTGTTGTTAGTCGTTAGCCTGTTAGCATAACAAACCTGAATCGTTGATGTTAATCACGTCCACAGACACCATGTCCGGTTTGCCCGCTGTGCCCGCTTCCTTGTCCATTACTCCACGCGGAACCACGTCTGGCTTGGGTCCGAACTTTCGTGGATAAAAGTCTCCAGCGCTGTGATAAGAAATAGCCGCGGACGTGTACATTTTCGTGGACCCGTCCATTTTCACTTCCTGTTCAGCCTACGCTTCTTTCGCGCATGCGCACTACGTTGGTCTTCTGATCTTTAATACTCAGGTACATTTTTAAAAATAATAATGATAATTTTATATTACCGCTATTATTAAACCATCATTACAAGTATATTATTATTGTTATTAGTTAGAAAGCTCTTCCAGTTTAGATTACATTGAGTCGTGTTGGGCATTAAATACAAACATACAGTGTGTTTAAAATCTTTACGTGTTTTTCTTTAATTTAGGCTTATTTTCTTTGTCACCACAGCAGTCTGCATACAGATTTGAAACACCATACAGTATAGATCACCTATACCTTATCAAACATATGGATGCGAAAGCAGCATGGGCATTGGATCAAATACATAACTCAATAGTTAGTGGAAGTATGATCCTTTTTTTTTTTATCATAAACACAAGAACAAGCCCTCAATGTGCACGTTGAATAAAAATTGAACTCATAGCTGAATAGCAGATTTTTTTTAATGAAATAAATTCACAAGAAAATTGCTGATCTGTCATTATAAACTACATAATCAAAAATGTTCTAAAGCTATTCATTTCCCAAAAGAGTCATTTAGGTTGTTCGTGTTTAAGAAAAATGTTTGGTTCATGTAAAAAAAAAACATTTAAGTGAAACTTTCCCTATCTACTTGTCTATCTGTCTATCTATCTATCTAGCTATCTTTCTTTCTTTAGACTTCTCTATTTAAAAACACTGCAACTTCTTTTAAGATGCAGCAGACATGGGCACCATCACTAATGAGTGGTTGTCTCATTAGAATGTGTTAAATTAACATAAAAATAAGATAGAATGCATTTCCTGAAACTGCTTCAGACTTTTCTATATAAAAACACTATGATTTTTTTTTGATGAAGAAGCAGGAAACGTGGTTGACGCCCTTAACAGGGTGGCTCTCACAGACTGTATTAGGGAGATATGAGGTAAATACTTAGGGCAAAAAGAAGACATGTGAGCAGACTGCACTAGACATCATTATCCTCATTTGAATGAAAAAAAAAGAACATTTAAAATACTAACATCAAGCAAAATTAGAATCTTGTTAAATGTGGAATGTCTCAAAATAAAAATGCTGTTAATGCAAACTGTACACTTGATAAGAATTGGAATTACAGAAGTAAAATCCTGAGTTACCCACCATGCTCTAGTGGCCAACATAACATGGGCTGGATTTGGCTCACAGGCCTCGGGTTTTTATCCCCTTTGTCACCACAATGGTTCACGTGTACAGTAAAACTCATAGAAATATTGCTAAACAAAAAGTCTACCTTTTACTCTGTATTAGAAATACAGTCACACAATGCAAAAGCATATAGGGTTGAAGAGTTGTATTAGTCAAGTGATGTGGGACTCTTTATAGAAAATAAGCAAATAAATGTGATCAAATACATAAAACACAATAAAGGGAATTGATATGACATGAGTCATTTCATCACAAACATGGCAACAAGCACTTCATGTGCACATTCAGCAATTTAAAAATATATATGTGTATATATATACATTATTACAAGGCAACCAAAAGCTAGAGTCCAAATCTTCAACAAACTGTCCAGTTTTTAATACAAGATATATTTGAGAAATTGAAGTTGTTCTTTTCACATGCATTTTGGCTGCACAAAAGACATCACACTGAAACAGTCTGATTTTACTACATTCAGAGGGCCATCCTTTTGTTTCAATATTGCCAACTCACAACACAGATGTGGTATATTGAGCAATGTACATTACAAATTTTCCTCAGTACTGCCTGAAACTGCTTTAGACGTCTCTATATAAGAACACTCTGACTTCTTTTAAGAAGGATGAAACATGGTCTCCACAGACTGTGTGTGAGATATGAGTGAACTACAAAAGGCAATGGAAAGTATTAACTTTTTTTAAGTTCCTGAAAAAAAAAAAAAACGGGAAAATAACATTCTGCTTTTATTCAAATAACATAATAAAAGAGGCATATTTACCAACATTTTGCCCCAGTGACAAAAAAAGATAACACATTTGTGTTTCAATCTGTATTAATGGACCAGGTAGAACTACTCAGAGATGCACAACAATATCACTTGTCAAAAATGGTGTTCTTACTATATGTGTATGGTATAGTTTTTTTATAATTAGTCAGAACAATTCTGATTTGTGTTGCAAGCAGCACAGTGTTGTTTGTAACAAAGGCACTACACATTTATTCTAGAAATATCAAAGCACTACAGACCTTAAAATGACAGCCATAATCTTAGCCAAAGATTCACACATAAAAACTGACTGACATACAGCTGTTGCACCACACAGTCTGGGGGAGATTATGATGTGCAAAGTAAAAAAATTGAGTAGCTCGTTTTAATAACACTCCCGAAAATGTAATATTTGTCAATTTATAGCTAATTTACATGATGTCATTGAATGAATATTGTCTGACAAACTGAGCTACTTAAAAAAAATCAATGTTATGAAAAAAATAAGTGCAATTTACATAGTCAAAGGATTCATTCAGCACTGGAAGTAAGTAACAAACCTATTGCATGCACAAATATCCCATTCTCACAACAAAACAACATAACATCTGTTATTTTCTGCCAGGATCTGTTTAGATTGAGACTGTCCTTAAACCTTTGCAATTAAATCACTTTTTGAAAAATAAAAACAGCATGGGGTTCAAAACACTATGATGATTAAATTTACAGCTGACATGACATTCAGATATCCAAGTTCTGTGTCAGATGATACATATTACTTAAAAGTTTAGGTCTGGCAAACCAAGCAGTCCTCAAATTTCATCATTAAAAATTAGAATTAGAATGTTTAGGTTGGATGACATGGATTTACTTAGCTTGATCTTAATTCTAATTCCCACATAATTTGTTTTTTTATGTCAAACATTTCATTTCATGTTATAATATAACTTAACATGGCCAAGGAGATGCAAGATGATCATTGTGTATTTCCATTTTCACCATCTCCAGTAGGCCCGGGCTTCTCAGATTCTGCTGTCTTAGCAGTTAGCAATTCCGTGCTGTGTTCAGGAGACCGTGTGGCAGGACCTCTCTCTTCATCCCTGGCCTTGTCCCTGCGAGCTTTTCTTTTCCAATACACAATAGCAGCACTAGCAACAGTAATAACACAAATCAAAACGCCAACTGTTGCGCCTACTATTGTAAGAATTTTGCCGTCGTACATTGCATTATTGACAGGCTCACTCACTGCTTCACTGACGGGGTTTTTCACACGACAGAAGATTTTTTGGGGATTTTTTAATTCCTCGTTTGACAAGGTTGCAGTCTTGTCGCCAAGCTCCTTTCCCCAGGGTCCATCATCTCCCTTCCACGAATAGGTGACAGGCTGTGCCCCTTCAACTTTGGCTTTACATGTAAAGTTGCAGCTGGTGTCGCCCTTCCTGCACACTAAAGTTTCCTGCTGGACGGTAGCTTCTAACACTCGTTCTATAACGCTGACATCATAGTTTTCTTCATTTTTTCGTTGGTTTATCTCCACATCGTATATTCCAGCATAAGTCCCGTCCACTTGTCTAATCGTAAGTTGAGCCGTGCTGTAGTTTAGGGTGGCCCTGTCTTTGAATTGAGAGAAATATGTGGTGGTATCACCATCCCAGTCCACGACCATGTTGCTCTGGTGGTACCATATCACCCTGTTGATGGCACCGTCGTACGTCGGACTCAGGGAAATGTCGCTGCTAACGGCAAAGTACCTTTTCGTTGTAGTAGCGGATACAAAACCGCCGAGAAGCGCCAGCTGCAGCACGACGAGAAGCTGTACACTTGACTTTGACTCCATTTGTGTCTCAAAATCGTAATGCGGGTTGAGCGAACCGCACCCTCAATCGACTTCCTCTTCTCTCTTTCAAACTATCAAGTGTCGTTTTCCTGAAGTCTATCCTCTTAAACAATCATTCAGTTGGATTTTAAACGACCAGTTAGTTCTGTGTACGAAAGAGAAACGAGAAAATCAGGAATTTGAAATGAAACGACGTAACCACAAAGTCGTTGTAATGTCCCTACCCAAAGCGCATAAAAGATAGTGTTTGCCGTGATGCCTGATTTAAAAGAAACTCTTCTAAATTGTATGACAAAATGGCACGGAAATGTTACACTGGAAGAGAACATTATTTTTGCTTCATACAAAATTAAGCATAAATATGCAACTAATAATCATGTTTTCTTGTTTATTTTTAGACAGGCATCTTTATGGCAGCCCAACACAACAGTTTGTAGTCTCGTGCTTGATGAGTTGATAAAGGTCAAAATGTCGTCACATACAGCATATATATATATTCATATATATATACACATACATACATATCAATTATGCATACTCATCGATACAATTTATAGTGCTTTATCTACCCATTTCTTAAAAAGCTTATTTATACATTTTGTATTGCATTTTATTATCAATTTAATATGTCTAGGTTGTGCTCCAGTTTACTTCATTGTTTTTATTGTCTCTGTTTAATGCTGCTGCTACACTTTAATTCCCCAGTTTGGGAACAATAAAGTACATCAAGCGTTTGTGGACAAAACATATTTTTATTTGCATTTTAGTATAGCCAATGAGTTAACCAAACATATTTTTATTTGCATTTTAGTATAACCAATGAGTTAACCAAAGAGTTATCATTTATATATATATATATACATCAATAAGATCAAAGTTTACTGTAATGCATACAATGAAAAATATGAAACATAATTATTGATTCAGAAAACATTCACTAAGACTACTTTAAAAATGAAGAATCAAATCTTAACACCTGTAAATGCACCTTATCTCAGCAAGGCACTGAGAAGTAATGGTCAGAATCTTCAATCTTTATATGAAGAGTTGTGTTGATGTGACATCTTTGCATGACCTCACATAAGCTATGCATATTTGTTTAATATTACAATTTGTTTCATTAGAAATAGGTATTGTGAGTAGATTTTTCAGGAAGTTCAGCAGTATTTCTCAACAAAAAAAAGAGCAATGCAGATGAGCAATGCACAGCAAGACTTAACACCTAACTGCTGTATGACAAAACAAAACAAGTATTGAGTTAATATCAGATTTTAGTATCTACTTAAAAAAAACAGAACAAAACATGTTTAATTCTTTTTTCTCTTTAATATTACATAACAAGTAAAATTGCAAACACCGAACAACAAAAAAACAGTTACGGGTCCTACAGTAATGGGTTAAAGGAAGTAAGATTAAGTAGACACCAAACTTATTTTCAGTAAAAAAATATAAAAACAAAAGTATTAATTGACACAGCGCAGTGGCAATCTGGATTTCTGTGGCGATGGCGCAGCTTCATTTTCTGACGATTTGAGCTTGCCGGAAATCTTTGAGTCCTTTCTGTTGCTTTTCTTCTGCTGTAAGACAAAAACATACAGTTGTACTTGTTTCTAAAACAACTATGTCTTTGATTATAGGGTTAGAAGGTTAGGGGAAAAAACGTTTCCACTGTAATGTTGTTGTTGCTCTTTCACTCCTGCCAGTTATTCAATACTTAGCTAGGTACGTGCAGAAGGAGGAAGCAAAGGTAAGGGGGAACATCACAATTACTATTATTGTTGTATTCTCCAGTGGTGCTCACCTTGAAGAAGGGAACTCTTTTGCCTTCGTTGAAGACAAGGTTCTCATCAATGAAAGATGGTTCTGTGGCCACACTTTCATTACAAGTGCTCACATCCTCATCCAGGGAGTCCTTAAAACGGACAAGGGAGGAAATCAACAACTTGAATTATTGTCATTAAAAAAAAACATCTTGCACATCTTTAGAAATATGAGGACAACATGCTGGACATACGTGATCAACCTGACTATGTTTGTCCTCCTCAGGCTCCTCTTCCACCTCCTGGTCCATGGCCGCTGACAGCTCCTGCTGCTGTCTCCTTAAACTTTCCAGCAGTTCACTGCGGCTCTGTGATTTAACCAGCTGCCCAGGATAAACAAACTCCCTGCGCTGAGGGGTGGCACCTGAAGGCAACAACACAACGTGAATATGCAACTTGAAATGAAAACACTGATTATCAGGCACGTGTACAAAAGACCTGCCACTTTTTCTCTGTAATGTCTTGAGCTGTAATCAACCAAAGAAAGTCTTCGAATAAAATGCCTTTTATTAAATTGTGTTTTACCTAATTATTTTGCACTGAAATTACTTACATACTCCAGTCCGTCAGCTCTGACAGCATTATGCAAAACCTACAGTTCAAATTAGATTCCTGACCTGAATACAGTCCAGAATCTGAAGGGGTATCCTGACTAGTGTTTTTCACTGAAAATTATTCTGACTGTCTGCCCATTTTAGAAGTTTGTGTGAATAAATGGATGAAAAGTCAATATTGTTATAGTCAAACCCTCAAAACTTTTGTTTTTATATTATCGATGCATCATTGCCATGATTGATGTCACAACACAGATGCAAAAAGAACAGTTTTAAATTTGTTGTAGATATGTTGTAGATATTTGTAAGATATTTTTAGGCATTACAAAGTTCTTAAACACCCTGTAGCTACTATGTCCACTGCTGAATCTGCAGCATTTGTACTTATATAATAATTAAACAAATACAAACCAAGATAATCCCTTGGCTGAAGGAGCAATGTTACTGTGTTACCTGTAGGAACATCCTGCTGCAGCTCCTCCTGCAAGAACCCATAAACCAGCTGTTGACCCCGCTCCATGTGTCCCTGCAGTTCGACCCGCTGCTCATCCAGAGCAGTTTGGTCCTTTGAGATTTTTTCCTGTACCACATTTGCTGACTGCTTCATCTCCTCCAGCTGGCTCAACAGGGCCTCCTTGGTTGTTTTCAGCTGTTCAGTGCAGTGTGTCTGGATGCTCTGAAAATGCAGGGACATTTAGCTTTAAGTGAAACAGACTGCGATGTGCCATTTGGGGCTTACGTCTACCTGTTGCAGCACTTCAGCATCTGACGAACTCTTCTGGACAAGTGCTCTTTGTTCAAGGCCATGGGTCTCCACGTGATCCTTTACTTTAGAACCCCACCGAAGGTCCCGCTCCACAAGACCTAACAGATATATTAATAATAGCTTACATCAATGTTGCCCTGGCTGTATATGGCGTCAGATGTATTCTGTTTGAGTGCCCCCTGCTGCTGGGACCAATCTCACATATGGAGATTTGTTCTCGGTATAATTTCTTAAAAGACAAGGATCTTTAAGACCGACCAAATATAGGAATTCCTAGAAATCTTTTTAGGAATGTCCAAGAACAACCACTGTACCACTGCAAAAGTTGAAGCCACTCACCTACACAGAAGTGGTAACATCATAATCTAGAGAGTCCGACTTACACTTGAAAGCCATATTGAAGGGCAAAGATCCCCCCCCCCAAAAAAAACAAAAATTCTGGGCAATGGTGAAGTAACCACAAAACACCATAAGTCAAGGATTATAAAGAAAGCTGGATATGGTACCAGACACAGAGGTGTGGAGGTGTGAGCAGCAGCCCATCATTTCTTCTAGCGTCTGTTGGCTCTCTTCTGTGTTCAGATGCAGAGATGATGCAAGGGATGAGCAGTTGGAGGAGAGGAGGTCTACCTGAGCCAAGGCCTGATTCTCAATCGTAGTGCAACCACTGCAAGTCAAAAAACAAAACACAATGGTGTAATGGCAATGTCTGTGTTCTTCTACTAGTTCTGGAAATAAAATGAACAAACGTCTTTCTAGTCACCTGCTGACAGTGTGCTGGAGATTCTGGAGAGGTGTTCGTAGGGCCTTGGATGCCGAGCACAGATTACTGTAGTCCTTCTGTGTCTCCATGGTGAAGAGGTTGAGCTGATCTTGAAGGCACTGGAGTGTCTGCTTCATACCCTGACAGAAGACCAGCTCCCATGTTGGTTTCACACAAATTTCTTGAGTGATAAGTGTAGCAGATCAAATCTTACTTTCTGGTGCCTCTCCTGCGCCTGTCGAATCTCACCCTCCAATTTGTCATTGTCTCGCTGCAGTTCATCAAAGCCCTTCACTGTGGCCTTCCGAAGCACAGACAGTTCTTGAACCATTCCACTAAAAAATGTGCTTGTGTCTTTCAGAGCTTCCACCTGAGGGCGACAGAGAGGACCTTTAGACAGATTCAGACCATTCGTAGTCCACCTGAAGGGGGCCCTGGAACTCCAGTTACATATTCACACTTTTCTACATAAATCTCCATATTTTTAGGAGAAGCAGTACTTTACATAACAACAATTAAGAGAGAGGTTTCATCAGAGACAGAGAGGACGGTGTCCTCACCTTGCTGGCCAGAGCCCTTTGCGTCTCTATCGATGCTTTCAGAGTGTTGCCGAGGTCCTTTACAGCCGACAAGCCCATCAGAGTGCGACCAACTAGAACCTCTTCTAAATCTTGCTGATGCTCTTCCTACAGTCATAAAAAATATAAACAAAACCGGATGCTCACAATCAAAGACAAAAAAAATGCCTTTGTGTCTTGAGCTAGCAAGGAATCAAGACGAAGACGAAGCAGTTGTTGTCCAAGTCAGTGATTCCCAACCAGTCAGTGTGACATGACAAATCATTTGTCTGTGATTGTCTATTGGCCAATGACAAGCAAAAGATAAAATTAGTTAACCTTTGGTTAAGAAATGGCTCATTGTAAATGCAGTATCACAGTGTATGAACTAGAAGGGCGGCTCTCATCCTGTGACTCATTCTTAGTCCTCTAATAGTTCTATTAACAGGTTAATCCCATAAACTGTCTTAGTGATGACCTACCAGCAGCAGTAACAGACTCTCTTTGTTTTGCTGAGACGTGGTTTCCTGTTGCTTCACTCTCTCTTTAAAGCGAGCCATGCCATCAGCCATTAGCTTCCCCACATCACCCACAAATGACTCCACGTTGGTCAGAGATCCCGTCAGCGCCTTTTGGTTCATTACCAACAAATTATCTGTACACAGGAAGAAAGACGAATGTTGCTTTATCGTCTCAAGAACATTTCCATTGTCAGCTGTATCATCTACCACAGTTTTTCCCAAATTTTTGTTCTGGGGACCACATATTTAAAAGTCACAAACCTTCACGACCCAAGTCAATAGACATTATTCATAAATCAAAAAATAAAGGTGTATTTCAGTATTATTGAAATGTTTTATTGTTTTATCTGAACAATTAATTGTTGCGATGACTGAACTCCTGGGAAACATGATGTGAAACGACACAAAAAAAACTTTTTCCGACCCAGACTTGGGGAAACATTGATCTACCAGACAAAAAAAAAAAGCCCCGATCTGTTTGAGGTACATCACGTCTGGTGGACAGTTGTGTTTTCTTGACCTACAGTACTTACCGATGGCCTCTGAGTAGTTGTTTAACATGTGGTGGTGCCTCATCCCATGCTGCTCAATGGAACACTGCATGTTGCTGAAGGCTCCATCCATATACTCTGCAAAACTCTGCTGAATCTGCCAGTTATGCTGCTCCACCTGCAAAATTCAATCACACATTTTTTTCACTCACAGGCGGATAAGGCGGAGAAAACTGCCACACACCAAGGTTCACTTCCACATTCATTCTATTTTTTTTAAAGCAAAAATTAAAGTGTGTCTATAAATTGTGTCTTGTGTGTAAGATGACCTTTGTCTTTCTGTCCAGTTTGTCATGGAGACCCGACACGTCACTGGTGCTGGCTTCTACTGTTGTCAGCAGCTGACCAGTAGAAATGAAAAAACAATGGTTGCAATAACTGTCAAATTTTTAAAAGAAAAACTCCATTGTTGAGATAGATGGCTCCACACCTGTCCAGCGGTGCTGTAGAGAATCTCCTGGACCGAGCTGAGCTCGGAGCAAATAAACTCCTCCTCGCTTAGCTTCTCTCTGGTCACGTGGAGATCACGACTTGTCTCCTCCAGTCTTAGAACACAAGAAAGTGTAGAGGACAGATTTGTGCAGGAGATATTTTTGACAGTGACAATAATAATAAAGCTGAATCCATCTGTCCTGCGGTTGTTATTCCTGGTGAGGGCGCTGTTGTTACTCACCTGTGCTGCGTGTGGTCCAGGTCGCTGGTGCACTGCTCCAATCTGGTTTTACTGTCTGTGAAAAGTTCAGTGATCTACAGAAGAAGAAAGGCAGAGGGAATACATCTGACGGTTACTACATGTATCAACATGGCGCAGTTTAACCTTAGGCTTTGATGTACGAATTAAGACGTGTTGGGTTTTATACACGTTCACACAGATTCAAGGATGCCAGGAATAAACACAATTAGAAATTGGTTTTACCTTTAGGACCACAACTAACTTAATCTACATAAGATATTTGACTCTCAATGGCATTGAAGGAAAATATATAAATATGCAATACAAAGAATACATGACGTCAAATAAGCTCCATGAATCACATTTATTGAACACAGATTTTTATGCCCTGTGTTTGTCACTTCAGTTTCAGTGTTGTACCGTGTAAAAAGAGGTTGGGTAAAAAACAGTGTGGACAGATTAGCTACTTGGCTTAGTTTGTCCATCATAGTGAAGCAGTAGAGAATAGCAAATAACTTTGGCTGCTGACATCACATGACTGATTATCTGTAATACCTTCTTCAGTTCCTCCTCCATGGCGGCGATGCTCTCCGTGTACTTATCTATCTGTTCCTCGTGGTTTGTGATGTGACTCTTCATAGACCTGCAACACATAAATGTGCACTGGAGATAAAACACATAGATAGAACTCATTCATGAAGTAGCCGCAATGACAGCTCTAAAATCAGTAACTTAAAAAAAAATGGGATGAAGGTACAACAAAAAGCATAAAAATATATACATTTTTAAAAATGTAAAAAAAAAAAAAAAAACACTGCATAGTTTGAGTGTCTCTGTGAAAACTAAACTGAACAAATTGACTAGTGCCAGTAATAAGCTGCAGTTACAAATAATAAAAAGAAACTACTGCTGGGTACAGATGAATGACATTATTATTAGTAATATATATATATATGTTACTTGTTTTTATATTAAATTATTATCTCTTTAAATAAAAGGTGTATCCAACAAAAACAAAACAACGTTTTAAGAATGTGTAAAGGAGAACACTCAGGTGCTACTGTATCTGTGTGACCTACTCGTAGTTTTCTGACGACAGGTAAACTCCGTTCTTATCACGGGTGGCAGCCAGGTCTCTCTTCAGACGTTCAATCTCCTCGGTGTATTCCTGAAGAACAGAGGGTACGGAGTTTAATTTAAGGGTGGTCCCGACTCTAATTATCAACACACCACAGTGAAAGATGAAGCCAGAAGGCCGGTTGTTTCTACAGCAACAGACATTGGTCTACCTTGATGAGCGTTCTCTTGGTGAGTTTCTGGTTGACCTCAGGTTTGTTCATGATGTTCTTGGCCCTGCTGGCGTACTCCAACGTGCTCAATGTTTCCTGCAGAAACAGACGTAGTCACGATGACGAAAAAAATCAATTCAGCGCAGATGATTTTTAGCCGTGTGAAGAAAAAACAGGGACATACCTCTACGTTACTCGAGGAAGGCGACACAGTGGCGATGATGGACGTCCTTGTCCGTCCTCCCAGCGAGTCCTGCAGGATTCGTGTCAGCTTGGACTCTCTATGGGATAGGTACAACTACACTCAGTTCCAGAGCTTCTTAGTGCCATGATTCACTTGGCAAGCTTTGGTGAATGAAATTGTTATTTGGCTCTGCGTAGCTCAGATTCAAACTTCTTAAGTCAAGTAAACTTATATTACCACAATACTGCCAAGCTAATGAGTAGCAAACAGACCTTAAGTAAGCAAACAGTACTTCCCACAATATTGTTATATCTCTGACCTGTAGGGCACGTGCGGTCTCTTCTCTACCAGAGCGGTGATCACTCTGCCGAGGGTCAGCAGAGACTGGTTGATGTTTCCTGCCTCGCGAGCTCTCTTGTCCACTGCGCCTGAGCGTCCTATGTTTTCGCTGCCAGCAAGATCCACCTGCAGGACAAAATAAAAAATAATTGAATTTTAATCTGCAGGAACGGAGCTTCAATCAATGCTCGGAGTTTCTTTTTTTACACCTAGGACCATAGTATACAAAGTAAAGGATAGATACCAGGTTGAGTTTGCCTATCTTCACCAGCTCCTCCCCATCCAGTGTCATCTCCTTCATGTGGATGGTAACAGAAAAGACGGAGTGCGAGCGACTGCGGACATGAACACAGGAAGTTAATGGAGATGGAAGTTGACAGGTGTCATGAACCCATTGGCGTTTGTGCGACGTTTACCTGGAGTAGGAGTTCATGAGGGTAGACGCCGTTCTCCTCTTGGCTGATCCTCTCTCCAGGATCTGATATACTTCATCCTTGTTATGAACTGTGACCTCCTCTAGACCCTTTACCACCACACCACCACGCTGTGGTACCCCAAAGTATTGCAGCAAAGAGTAGAGAAGTCACTTAGTTACTAATCTACTGTATAAAGTATGTTTAATCAGAACCAGACAGAAGAACCAGGTCAGAAAGATTTAACTACTTTTTTTTTAATAGACATACTATTCTATTCATGTCAAAAATTACAGGCAGTACCTGACCTTAGGAAAATTTAAAACTAAACAACTTCTGCTTCCATTAACTTGTTAGTCATCCCTGTGGGCCTCACATTGTTTTGTCAAGAAGGTTCAGTAATCGTTGAAAGATTACATTTAAAGCAAGGACATTACATTTTACATTTAAAGTTGGTCACCTTGTTTCTTGGATCGTCGAACAGTTGCAGTCTCTCCGTTACGTCCTCAGAGGGACTCAGCAGATCAAACAGCTCCTCGTTGTAGATCTCCAGCAGAGAAACTTTGACAGAGAACTCTGTGCCATTCTCAGTGAGTTTCTCAAAAATCTGGTGCAGAGTCCTAGGGATGATCCCAGCCAGAGGGTCCTGGGCACAGGGAGTGCTGATTAAAATCACTAACGTACCTTATATGGCATTCACAGACTTGTCTTTGTATAAACCCTTGTCACTATCTGATATAAATATATAGGAATGTGAACATTTCTTAGAATGAAATCAGATAAAATATATCCACATTAATAGGTTATCTTTTTAATGTATGCAATGTGGCAGTTCAAACCTACATATACTTCTTTGGACAGAACCTTGGCTCAGACTCACCTCCTCCCATGTGAACTGCTCGTCTGGACTTCTCTCACCCTCCATGGTGAATGTCTTTCCTGTTCCTGTTTGACCATAACTGAAAAAAAAGAAAAAAAAAAGTTAACAGAAAAACTCAACTGAAAGAATTCAATTGATATAAAATAATTCGCCTTTCCAGGAACACCTATAAACCATTAACCACACGCTCTAAAGGTGATGCATTAAAAGACCTAGATTACTGTTGGAATTACGTTTTACGTACTAAAACGTAATTCCAACAGATAAACCAGGAGTAAAGACATGAATTGAAATGTTTTTCTTGGGTGTGACAAACTTTAGTGAACTCACGCAAACACGGTGCAGTTGTAGCCCATTATGACTTCGTCCAAGATGGGACACACGACACTCCTGTACACTTCAATCTGCTTGGCTGCTGGACCAAAGACCTGAGCATAGAGGAACATTTTGACTCAAGACCTGAGCAAATGTGAACTTCAGCTTAATAAAAGTTAAAGTCCGACATGGGAACTTTCCAGTAATTAGGACAGTTTACACACCAGCATTCACTTACCATGTCAAAAGTGTAAGTCTTTCTTGATGCCTTGTCGTTCAGCCCACCTGTCCTCACCAACACCTCCTTTCTGTTATGATCACAGTCCACAACGCCATGAGAGGACTTGCGCTCTACAGTGTTAAAAGGTCTGGAATACAAACACACACACACATATATATATAATACTCCCAGTACAATAAAAATAAAAGAGATGATTGTGAATATCATCTGACTTCCTGACCTGCATCTGACGACCACCTGGATGTTCCGTCCCTTCTCATCTCGCTTCACTCCACTCTGGTTTTGTGAAGCCATGTCAGCTTCAGCAGAACGTTTTCCTACAACTTCCCTTTATTATGGAAACACACAGATGTGTATTAAGATGGTAAATGATCAGAATCGCATCAAGCTTTTACTTGTATGAAACAAAATATGACGGTTCAATAGTTATGTATATAACATTAAAAAGTTCTGGGCCTGGATTGATCGAACAATAAATGGAAATAGAATGAAAAATGTAAATGGATATAAACGGAAATTATGTCAATTATTTTGGCCTCCTTCATGACGAGGGGGTTCACTGTGTGCGTTGGTCTCAGCAACTGGGCATGTTTGTTCCGTAGCGGAATGATGTAAACATTTATCTTGGCAAACTATGAATGTAAACTGATAACAAAAATGATAGTAGACTCATTTTAATTGAAACACAGTTCTACATTATCTGTTTCTATAGGACTGTTAGCAGTTATAAAGGTTTCAATATATATATAGTGTATTCCTTGCTGTGGCAACCCCTGAAAAAAGGGACAACGTCGAAAGGAAAAGAAAAAGATTCCTACAGCTCTAAAAGTGGATTAAAGTTACGACTGGCTGCATACTGCAACTGAAGCGATTTAAAGTGTCAACTTGCAGTTATTTTTCTCTTATAGACACATGGAATAATTATAGTATATGATAGTTCCTATAATTCCTTGGCTAAAGGTGAAGTTCCTTAATGAACCTTTGTTGGCACTGTATAAACAAAAGAACTGTAGACATAGAACCAAAATAATTTTTGTTCGAGACAATGTATCGACTCGTACTGCCATATTTACAGTTAAACGCTCAGCCTCTGGTTAGAAAAAATGCATAAATAATCCAGAATAATGTACAATGCACACGTTTAAAGTTGTATATAGTTGCAAATGTAACATAATTTGTGAAAGTGCTATGTTGTTGCTATATTAAATCTTTAACATCAAGAACACCAACACTAACTTGAGGAGAAGCTGCTGCCACCGTTTGCGGGTTTGTGTTTAAAAAAATGTAATTGTTGATTACAAGAAAATCTTGCTAATGATAAACACAACGTTAAGAGAGGAGATTGCTCACGGTCGAATTGACAGCTCCGTTTTCACTTCTATTCTGGCTGCATTTTGACTTCGGTTTTTCTATTTTGACCATAATGTTCCAAAATTCTAGCTCGATTTTTTTTTAAAAACTCTAGTTACTTTAACTTACCTTCGTTTCGTTCGACGAACGTCTGCGCTTTTGTCCCACTCTTTAGGTCAGAAAGTGAAGAGCGATAATTAAAATCTCTGTATTATAGTTTTTGCTTTAAAATCCTGAAAGCGTGAGTTTAGTCCTGTTCAATTCAGTTGGCTTTGGTTCGGTTTAGACTCTGGTTTCCCATGAAGCGATAATCCACCCAGAGCGGAAACATTTCAAAATGTGGATTTAAATTTTCACTCTCCAATAGCAGAGCAGCTTTGAGTAACAAATGACACCATTGGTCACAAGGGAAGCGTGAGGCATCAAGGGAAGTCATAACGCATTACGGTAAAGTTATTTGTTGAAGCATAGCTGATGATGGTTGACTGGACGGATCTAAATGAAGAAAAATGATTTTAATTATTTACGTTCAGTTTCTTCGTCAGCGACCCACCATAGTCAAACTCGAATTCTTTTTTGTCAAATTACAGGTCAATCTTATAATAAAAAACATCACAAAGAAAGTGTTTTTCTTAATAATTTGTATTTTCTTAGGGATGGACCTGTGCGCTTTCGCAATGTAATAAAATATAAGAGGAAATTAATACATTTATGCTGCATTTAAAAAAGACTATAATAACAATTTACATAAATTAAAGCTGTGAGAAAAGAACACTATTTTATTAAAATATTATGTATTTCTTATTCATTACAGTACTATTTAAATAAACTTTATAATTTACTGATTTAATTGTGCAACGTAATCAATCTTTGATGTGGAATCTTTGTACACATAATTGCAATACTGCCATCTGCTGGCTCAGCTCTGGAATAACCTGTTGCTTATTGTACGACTTAATAATGTGAAGTACTGTATTTATTGTGGTTTCTGTTTTTTAAGCGAGCTCATACATGGCTACACCGATATACACTACAACACAAACTATAAAAGTGATCCTAATTCTTTGGTCATATTTCTAAGCTTAGTCTTCTAGTGAGTCTGATTTTTTAATGTAAACATAACTGGAAACTCCCCCTCCCTGTTTTTTTAATATTAGCATGCTGCATCCTTTTAGCATGAAAGTTTTAAATTTGTACTTGTTTTTGTCCACTCTGAACTTACACAAACCTGCACATACACACACTCGGTGTTTAACAACAATTATCACAATTGTTTCAGTTACGGCTTCTTAAATTTCCTATCCATTTGCCATTAATGCATCTAGTCAGTTAGTTATTTTCTGCTGTTCCAAATCTGTTCTTCAATTTCTGTTTTCCTGCTGCTGATCTAAACCTACAATTCACTCTCTGATCTTTTGGTTGGCCTAGCTATATGTCCAAGTCCTGCCCACGTGTATTAAGACAATTATCTCCTTTAGCACCATTATACAGCCTTTTAAGATAATAGTGCGACCAGTGTTCTATGTGAAAGCCAATCGTTTGATCTTATTTTGGATGTTGGGACAGAGAACAGAGAATCTGTTGTTTCAGACTGCAACTGATTACCAAATGCTCAGGGAGCTTCAGGATGGACAGACTGACCTCAGAGTAATAAAATCTGTTTGTTTATCTATTTACTTTTTTCAAGTGGTGGGGAGTTGCTGCATGTGATAAAGTAGAGTTCAAGGAAAACATGAGGCCATATGTGTGCACACTTTTTTCCGTCTTTTCTAAACCGCCATCGTCTGGATGTTTATTTTCTGAATAATTATAATCCACCTTTCCCCCACGTCTTCGGTGATTGCAGTCTTTATTCATTTTGTGTGAGGATATGCATGATTACAAGGCTACGTGCTGTTTATCACTGCTATGTGACATCGGTATAAGCATTAAATCATATGTATTTTCCCTGAATCAATACTCTTTACTTGCGATTTAATGGCGCCTCCAGTGGCAGCTTGTGTGGGTTGCAAATGGAATGAATCCAAGGCAAAAATGTAAATGAAAAATGAAGTAGGTCAAATCTAGAACACATTCTCATGGCTCCGTCACATCAACATAGCTAATCAGCTGTTAACGACAGGCTCTTTTGTCCCTGGGATAATAACAGCCCTGTAGCTGTGCAGTGAACAGACAGCCAAACAGACATTTGAAAAACTAGCTCCTGCCTGTACAATGACTTGTTGGCATCTGGACGTCGGCCAAATGGATGAGGACGTAAAGCAAACCTAGAAAAGTGACACTGAGATCGAGAAACTGTTATTAGAGGCTCTGCACGTGACATGACTCTGACATGGTGTACATTCACTGACGAGGAAACTTTGATGACATAAAGGAGAGCACACAAGTATACGCTTGCGTATACTGTAATTCATTGATGTGGGACGGTCTTTGTTGACTGGCTAGTGTACAGTGAAACCTCGGTTGTCCAACGCCTCTTTTTTTGAACAATTCGGTTCAAATTTTTAACCAAAGATCTCAGACATTCATGAGTGAGAAAGCGAAGCGAACATTGTGCAGTCACGACTCCTCAGGTCCAGTAAGGATGAATGAAATTACATTTCATATTTATAGCTTTACTCTTTATTCAATTGTGTTTATCTTTCTTGTTAGATTATTTCCATTGGTTTCGTGTATGAACTTGTTCACAAAATACCATTGAAACATTTGAACAAGCAATCATCCAGGAACGGATTCATCCATGTAACATGGATTCCTACGGGGAAAATGATTTCAATTTCGGTTCACAAACGGCCTTCAGGAACAAATTCAGTTCGAAAGCCGAGGTTCCACTGTACAACTAAACATGAGTAGCCAACATCTGAGCTGCTGTCATATTTCACACGTTTCGTCAAAGCTCTGCATGGTAAATTGACGCATTAGCTTGAAGGCGCAGCACATAGGTTATATATGCCATTTCAGGTCGGTAGTAACATGACAGGCATCTGAGGACATTTGTAAAACCGGGTTTAAAACAAACAACAAAAAGAAAGTATAGGTGTGCGTGGAGAAAGTATTTTTTCTCAAATATAAAAAGAGGATTATTGACTTGCCCTGTGGCCAGGTTTGTTAAGAACCTACATCCTTTCTCCTGTACTGTTTGGTCTTTGTTTAAAGATATACATTTCTGTTGGCATTTGTTTTCATTGTTTTTGTTTTTTAACCTGAAAGCATGAAGGACCCAGTCCTCACCTGTAGGTGGTGTACTCAACTGAAGCACAGTTCATCACTTTTTCCAAAGTTAGATTTTTTTTGTTAGAATTTTAGTTTAGACATTTCTGACAAAAAATTCTAACTATGGAAATCATGATAACCAGCTCTGGTGATGATATGTCTATATTACCACTAAGCTAAGCTAAGTTAAGCTAAGCTAAGCTAAGCTAAGCTAAGCCTGCCTACTTTTTAATCTTTACAACTCACATTACAGAGCTACAAAATGCTGTTACCATGTGATTTACATGGTATCAGTATCAGCTCAGAAGATCCATGCTCTAACTCCATCCTCTGACCTCTGTGACCCTGGGCTTAAACCCAAGTTTTTACCTCTCTCCGCACACAATGTTCTATGGCAGACTTGACTCATGCACCCCTGGGGCCACCCAGTGTAATAAGTCAGACTACCTACCCCCACATCTACTTGCCCATGACCCTGCAGGACCACAACAGGAACCACATTCTTTTCTTCTGTGAGTGGTCTTCCATCCTTCTCCACTGCCGGGGCACCAGAAACAACCTGAACTGAGTGTGGTGAGGCAAAAAAAAAAAAACAGGGGCTTTTGTTCAGGTCCTGCCACAACGTGCTGATAAAGTAAACACACACTTCTTCTTCTGAATTTGAACTGAACCGAGCGGTGAAGTTGACCTCAAAAATGGAGTCATCAATGACACGCTGTGCTAGGAATCAGGGTTTAACGCCATCAAGTGTCAAAGAGAGGTCTGGCAGTACCAGTGCATCTGTCTCCTGTGAGCACAAGCCGTCTCAGTGAAACCCTCGATGGCTTTCACAACACTCAAGGCTATGTCTTCAGCAATTTCAAAAGTCAGTTCCATGGAACTGCCACTCCTCTTGACCCGAAGGCAACGGTGGAGGCTGCTGCAAAAGAGAGGCAGAGTGAGGCAGGATCTGACGGGACAAGACCGTATGAGGTGTGGTGTGTTTCTATTTTATTCTTATTATGATTAAGACTTCCTTCACAACACACTTCCTGAACACACATCACTTTGCCTTTTTTAGCATAAATTCACGTTCGAGGGCCTTACCTTGAACAAGTGTAGACCAGTGTTTCCCAACCTTTTTTAGCCACGGCAAATATGTCATCAGAAAAAAACTATGTCATCAGAAAAAAACCCCCAACCTTTTTTAGCCACGGCACATATGTCATCAGAAAAAACCCTGTTTGTCATCAATGACACATGACAGATTCATTTGTATTTGAATGCCAGTTTATTTTTGCTCTTTTTCTGACATATAGTATATATTGTCAACACACACAGACCCTTTGTGCTAGCCTTGTGTCTTTCAGTCATTCAGAACATTCAGAACCCAACCCAGTTTGCACACAGCATGTAGCGTGTCCTCAGTTGCCACTATAGGTCACACAAAGAGGGAGGGGCGCTTTGTTTAAACATAAAAAGACACAGTATGTTTACATTGTTAATATTTGTGTCTCATGATGCAGCACGATGCCTCGATGGTGCAAACAGGCGAGCGGGAGGTGGTTTTGGTTAATTGAAACGTAAGCATTAGACTCTTAGTAATTTTACCCTGTGGTGACTTCTAGAACTACACATCCCATCGAGAATATTTAGATTTTACTGAAACCCCGAGTTGATGAGTTTTTTTTTTAAAAAAAGACATGGGCATTTCATGAGCATTTTTATGTGAAGACTTTTTAAATCTGCTCTGTGTGGAGTTGGAACATTTGAGTGAATCAAGTGAAGTAAGGGATGAAGATAGACAGATGGACATCGGAAATCTAACACCAAACTGTTCATGGAGACAGAAGGACATATCGATTTAAACTAAGGTTTCCCAACCGCTGTGTTGCGGCACATTATTGTGCCGTGAGAGATCGCCAGGTGTATCATGGGAAATTATCTATAAAGTTGTTCTGAACACTAATTTTTACTTCCTGCAATTAATTTGTCTTGTTCGTCTGTTCAACTATACAGGTTTCATACTTTTTGTTTGTAAATCGGGAGTACCCCGAAACTAGCTCAGCGGGATCTTTTATTTCAAGTAATGTTTGTGTGTATATGTTTGGCGGTTCACTGAGTTTTTCTAATGAAAACTGACTCACTCAACATTTACTCAAACAACTGGAGAGAAGCATGATGTCATCGTCGATGAACGATTAAAGTTAAATTTAGCACTCTAGTGAAACAGAATATGAGGAAGACACAGGAGAAGGAAATGAGATGGTAGTTTTGCGTCCTGGTTCACTCCCTCTCACTGACAGATGTCCAGGTGTTCAGAGTTCACCTTTTGTACAAAGGAACATTTTGTTTTGCGTAAACATTGAATCTGGAACAACCAAAGCTTAATATTATAAACACAGGAGAAATTCAATTTGAAATAAAACACACATCAGTGGTATTTGGTTCTGATTATGTTTCTTTATCTGTTGTCTGTCAAGTTCCTTATTAATGTAAATCTTTTTTTTCACAGGCCAACAATAACAACAAAATGTATGCGCTATAACATTTACCGCTAATACTACAAATCCTGTCAGTATATAGGGTATATAGCTATATACTTGCGGGCCAACTCTAGTACACATTTGATATGATCTGGCAAATATAATTACACTATGGGCCAAAATTGGCCCCCGGGCCAGAGTTTAACACATGTCATTTACTGCAGTTTTTGTTAACGGACAGGTGCCAGACGTAGGATTCAGCAGTTAGCTGCACTATTCATTTACCAAAAACACACAGATGAATCCAGTTTGGTGAGCAGGCTGAACATGCCACAGAATTCATCACTGTCCCATTATTTAATCAAATTCTATTCTAAACACTGCTTTCCTAAAACACTCAACAGTGGGCGCTGTTCCAACCAAACATCATTTGACCTCACACAGACCCTGTTGTGTATCTGCTGCTATTTTAGAAAACGAACAAATGTCTGGACATTTTCAATAAACTGTTCTTAATAAAAAGATAATTTCCTTGCTGTGGACATTTTCTGGAAAATTCCATCTGAGCTCTCCAGTCAAATTTACAGATAATGTCACAGTTGGTCGACATGAGAAGGTCCAGATGCAGTGCAGTAAGTCACAACATGTCTTCATTCAATGTTCCTGACTGTTCTCGTAGGTCCTGTTCTGATTTGGTTGACCTCCTACAGCATCGACGGATTTAAACAGCCAGGTCCAGAAATTGTCCAGACCCCGTCCACTTAACATGTCCCCGCTTCAGCCTTTTATTTCATAATGCCTAAAGAGGAAAAATGTGCAGTTGAAACAGATGTAACAGGAGACTATACCGTCTCTTTACCTTCGGAGCTTAACAAACGCCCTGTTTTAGAATGAGGACTAAACGAAAACTAAATTATAGATGCGTAAATATCAGTAGAGCAAAGAATGGACACCGTTAGCATGGCCTCCCATTGATTGGGCGGGGCGGGGATGACGTGTCCACGGCACCTTGACATTTTTCTCATTCCATAGATGAGAGCAGGAAAAAAAGCCAAAGTGATAATGTGAAGGGGCAGAGAGGACACAGAGGAAGGAGAAAATAGCAGACATTTGTGGACTACTTTTTTTCTATGAACGGAATTGATAGTCAATAAGACACGGATAATGAAGTAACAATGAGTATCTGAAAACAGACACTGGAGTACACGGCGCTCCCTCCTCCTACTCTCCTGACACTCACTAGATCTGTTGCTGATGTCCTATTTACTGAACGGTTCCGCCCATGAACACAGGCCTTTTTACATGGTACCATTTTGTTCTGCACAGGTTATGCAAGCTTGTTATTTCAATACAAATGGGTGTCATAAGCTTTCATTAGCTGACAGGACCTCCATTGTCACGGTGCAGACACGCGCTGACGTCAGCGTGATTAGCTGTTAGAGAACGATTCTACTGCGGTTGATTTGTCATTGCGCAATTAGCTTGTCTTTGTTCTAATTTGATTTACTTGTTTAGTTGTTCTTTTGGGGTTTTTTTTTTCAGATCTGTTTCTCATATCATACATTAAGTGATCAACACGTGCAAACCTCGCTTTACCACTGAGTGCTTTTCGAAGCAAACCACACGGTCGTAGCTGCTCCCCTGACATCTGTGTGCAGGTGTCGTTTCAAAGGACACAGAGCTCACATCAGCACAACATGTAAATGTGACCTTGTCTGAGGTCGGCTGAACATTACAAAAAATACCTTTTGACGTGTGTTTTCATCACCTGCCTCTGCAAATACAAACCAGGAGCGAATCTCAAAATCTAGTCAGGTTTTACCTAAAAGTGAGAACTTTGCTGAAATATATTTTTCGACACCGTAATTCCTATAAAACTGCTATTCTTTTTGAACAACAGAAACAAGCGTGGGGCGTGCTTTGACCCCTGAACCAGTGTTTTAGCCCCGTGACTATTTTACCAACAAACAGGATATTCTCTGTGAACCACACCCAGATAAACAAATACTCCCCCTGTTGGTCTCTAAGAGCAGCAAACAAACTCATCTTAGGTACTATTATTTCTACGGTCATGTATTATTAGAGGTAGAGTCATCATCATAACATGGTTTCAGGATGCTTAGTTTACACAAGCTCAAGAGCACTCAGGAAGTGTTCCCAAACGGCCTGACAAAAGAGGCATTAGGTAAAGTGACTGTGTTTGAAGTCATACTTATTAAAACAGGGCTTTTTGTGTTTAATTCCTTGTTACTTGAAGAACACGTGGGCGAGAACAAGAACTGTTCCCTTCAACGTTCATTAGCCCCTGAGAACTTTTCATTTCGTTGCAAATGCCTGCCACATGTTGTCAAATTTCATACAGGAAATCATTGACAGCCTGTCGTTTGTGCAAAAAGCGCAAGAGAATGAATTAATAAATGAAAGAATGAGCCGTGGTTTGATAAATAAAAGCTGTTCTAACATGTTTTGCAGCATTTTTTTTTGAAAATGTAGAATATAGATGAAGGTCAGTTAAGCATCTAATAAACACTCTTTGACCTGTGGCCTTTTTCTGTCTCAGAGTCTGGCAGCATTCTGACCGAATGAGCCGACGTTGTGTCTCACGCCTCATGCCAAGTTATGTTTTGCCTGCTGACTTTTTTCTTTTTTTTCGCCTCCTCACTGCCTCATGCTTTCATGTTCTTGTTTGTTTACATTCACAGCGCGAGGAAATCACAGACAGGGGGAGGACGGGGCTGTTCTCTCCCTTTCTTCGTCTTTCCCTTTCCTTCCTCTCTCTTCTCCTCACAGATATGCAGGTGGTGCAGCGTGCTCGCTTGGAGTTTCCAGACTAGTGTCTGTGTTGGGGGGTCTCTGGAGAGCAACCCCACCATAATAGTCGGGTGGAGTGGACTGGAGAGTGCCTGAATAGCATGCTATGGGGTTTTCCAAACCCAAACTCCTTACAAGGGCCTTGGCAACGGCATAGTTATTTTGATAATTGTGCCAAGATTTACGACAGCTGATAAACCAGGCCTGTGATGACAGATGAAGTTGAATAATGGTTTGTGGTAAGAAAAGATTTTCCACACAAAAAAAAAACCAAGTTGTTTGAGATTCGGCCATTTGTGTCAGATTTATGCATCCTTGGCCCGGGTCTTGATTCAACTCTCCCCCTGATTTCATAATTCTTTCTCTCCTCCCCTCTTCTCTCTTCTTCTCTCCTCTCCTCCCCTCTCACACACAAAGCTATATGATGGGAGCGCACCCATCAATATAATGTAGTGTATCAGAGGTCATTTTCCACAGTGGACACCTGTGACCCTGAGAGCGTGCCTGTGACTGACTCAGCCTGTGGAGGAGGTTTCTAAAGAGAAGGAGAAAAACCTGATCTCCTCTGACAGCTCAGCTTCCTCGTCTTCGAACAGACGCTGCTCCCTAACCTTAGGAGAAAGGAACAGACGGCGGCAGCGCAGAGGAGGAAAAAAAAAAACAGAAGCGACCCTAAATCTCTGTACTCCACTTCTTCATTCTACTGGTTACGTGTCTGTGTCACAGGAAGGGAGTGATCGAAAAAAAGCCAGAACAGGAAGAAAGGCCTAAATCACAGACAAGTATCAGGCACGTCACCTGACTCACACACAGTACCATACACAAACATAGACTGACTCCCACATGGTGACCGCACTGTTTGATCAGTGGAAGGCGTACACAGACTGTACACAAAGAGTACAGGAGAAGGAGACACGATTGAATACACACACACACACACACACAGACAAACATAGGAAGAGGCCTTTCTCTTTTGTCAGAGACCTGCAGACCTACTGGGAGGAAGGAACCACACACGGCAGCCACGACTTTGCTCCACCGCTGATCACTTGTCCTCCTGACGTACCTAACGGCACCTGACGTTTCTGCAGCGCTCACACACAATGGACGGCTTAGTGCTGGGCTCTGTGTGTGACTTTGACTCTGAGGATATAAAAACAAGACAGATGGCCTTATATAAGAGGAGAACGTGGCCATCTGGTTCTCAAAGGGAAAACCGTGGAGTAGACAGGAAGTGGCAGTGAACAACCAGAGGGCAATGGCACTGGAAAAAAAAAACAAATAAATAAAACAAGAGTTCTTCATGGATTTAAGCAAATAAGTCTGCTTCTCGTTCGTTTCACAGAGTCAGTCAATGAATATTTTGAAGTGATAACATCGTCTCCGGCCACATGTTTGAACGGCCACAGAGCAAGAAGAAGAAGCTTGATTAGACTAGAAAATAGAAACCGGATTAAAATAAATAATGTTTTACAAACAGGCCTCAAAATGTCATTTACATATTTGATGATCAGAAAATCCATCAGGACAAAAGTTCAGAATTCTCCACTCCACGTGTCGCTGCTAATGCCTTCGCCTCCTTTCTCATAAAAAAGACTAAAATAAATCCCATCCACTTTAACCTTGAGGGCTTTCCTTTGGCTAAGAAAAGTAATAGCCTGGTACTTTTGACTGGAAAAAAAAAGTTGGTGCTCTGACCGAGGATTCTAATTTTCCCCCTCCCAGTGACATCAAAAAGAAGCGTTTGTGTCTATCCCTGACAGAGACCCACAGCAAAGCAGCAACACAGGCTCACACAGATTAGTAATCTGTCAGTACTTGGTGGGAACCTGGAAGACTAAAAACAGGATTTGATGGCCAAAATCCAGTGTTCCTCCTCCTCCTCCTCCTCTCAGATATCACAAAACAGAGTGAAACCGTTGATCAAGCTGAATCACGTTTGCCTCTCAATTACAGATACCTGCGTCATTATCACCCTGTTCAGTGAGGGATGACTCTGCAAACACGTGGTTTTACTGTTTAAAAAGAATCAACCTCGGGACGTAGGATGATACACACAAGACAAACACAACAGCCCGAAACCAAAAATATCAACTTTAGTCAATTTACATGATGTACGGCCCATAATTACACCGTGGCTGACAGTAAATCTTGAAGTTATTTTTGGAAACGCACACAGAGTTTAGAACAAAGTTTCTTGGTGCCAGGAGTCCTATTTATTTGTACAGTATGGGCAGTGATAGAAAAAAATATACGATTATCTTTTCAAATATGTAGATTTAAGAAGGAAGGTGAATTATTTGTCATGGTGACACACCACACCACACAACCAAATGTGACCTCTGCTTTTAACCCATCACCAAAGTCAGCAGGGGGCAGTGTGAGGGGACGGTGCCATGCTCAGAGCACCTCAGTGGCAACTTGGCAGCTGGTGGACTCAAACCTGAAACCTTCCGGACCCCAGCCAAACCACCACTGCCCCTGATTAATAAATAAAGTTGAGAAAACACGAAAGAATTGCACTTAAAGAATTGCATTTTGAACTTGGTGATGATCACTTCACTGCACTTCATTTCTGTCTACATTCAGTCTCATGGTAAATATCTCCTGGTTACCTCCATGGCCATTTGCCTATTGGCCAGTAGCCGCTGTGTTTGGTGATAACATCACCGACTGCTGCCTACATGCCTGCCCATGTTTACAGATGCAGAACGAAAGCAGGCGTCTTTCCTTTGTGCACCCACAGGATCTGAACTGAAGGCTGAAGGCTGTTGACACTAATGAAGCTCCCTGTGACTGTGAAAACGACACACAGTTCAGTCCACAGGCTGTTTGCTGTACCATTACAATGAATCAGCCGAGACGAACAAGACCAATATTGACATATCATTTTAAGGAGCCAGGGCTGAGTCTGTCAAGCCTAGTATATTCTCTGGAACATCTCACAAAATTACCTTTTTTGAATGTCAGTCTATTGTAATAAATCAGACGGTCGCATATGAGGTCCCACAAAAAAAACTAAGTTACTGTATTATAGTTTGTCATGTGTTCAGTTTAATGTTCAATAAGGTTGAATAACTGCAAATTCTCAAACCAATAAATAATTATGCTTTCAATATGAATCAAAATAATTGTGATTACGATTTTTTTTCATTATCAAACTTCCTTTCCAGACAAATGACAGTTTGAGGCACTTTTGGATTTTATCATTATTATTATTATTATTATTATTATTATTATTATTATACAGATGGATTCATATTTTGTTTCGTTAGTTATGTTTGCTTTTGAGAATTTCTTTGGGATCCAGTTATGTGGGAAAATAACATGAGAGTAAAAGAAAGTATCAAGTCATTAAAGGTGTAACATTTAACTAATTATTTATTAAATGTATATTTTCTATATTTAGTTTTATTATTTTGATAATTAATTAGTGACTTCATGTAGCGGTCGAACGGTTGAATTAGTGGAACTAGAGTGAGTCTTCTAAGTGAACAATGGCGGGTTTAATAGTTGTCTCTTATGCATTTTTAAACGTTGACCAAATAAGATGTTTTTACTTTTCAATTTATTTTCTGCAGAATATCGCCGTCTACTGGACAAAATTAGCACAACCGACTGCACTCTCCGAGTGTTTGACTGCTGTGCAGTAGCAAATTTAGCTGCTTTAGCTACACAAGAAATAATAAACGATGAGAAGATACCTTTTGGGGCTGAACTTGTTGAAGAGTGCGGTTGGTCTCTTTCGTCAGCAGAAGGCCTAACATGTTGTTGGCGGACCTAAAACCAAACAACCGACAACAATTCTTAATAAAATCGTGTCACTCCGCTACCCTACCCTTGTGGGACATGAATAATATAGATATCATTTTAAGTAGAACAGAATAAATTTAAATAATGATAAAGAATTATAATACTGATTCAAAAAAAGTTTATATCTCACCCTTTAAATAATGCTTGAATTGCTTTTTAATATCCGTGTAACTAAAGCTAAATTGGCTACCGCACAGCGTGAATGCCGCATGACGACTGACAAACACTTGTAGAGTGCAGTGGGTTGTGTTCTATCTTTGGCCAGTAGACGGCGACAGTCTGCAGGATATAAAATTAAAAAGTAAAAAATATTTATTTGGAGGAATAATACTGGGCCTTGAATACATGGATGTTCATTGTGGACTGCCAACAACAACAACAACATAATAATACATCATTATTCTTATTATATATTGTTGTTGTTGTTGTTGTTGTTGTTGTTGCAATATTTTGGTGATGTTTTAATACAAAATGTCATGTGAAGAATAACACAATGTCAGTGTTCAGGCAGAGAAAGCTAATGGAGTTGGTTTGTTCAAATTGAGCCATGAAAATAAATGTTACACAACATGAGTAGCTGGCAGCCATTTTTATTTTGAAGCATAAAGGTCAGAGACCCTAATATTATGTTTATACGCCTTAGCAAATGTAATAACAAATTATTATTATTTTACAAAATGCAATGAAAAGTACATCAGTCACTTCACACCTAACATCATTCAGGTCATGGGGTCAAACCTTTGAAACAGCAATCAAACTCAGAGGTCAGCAGAGGTCACAGATTGACTACAAGCTACAGTTATGCTAATTGGCTACCAGCTCCTGAAGTTTTTTGTAGTAAGCACTAAGTGATTGCAGAACACAGGCCCAGGTGTCCTGACTTAACCTTCTCTGCTTTGGTCACTCACCTCACCCACTTCAGCTGAAAAACAAGCATCAGGGATTTGGACCAACTGGGCAGCAGCGTCTGAGGACTTAACACAGATTGTAAATCGAGGCACTCAAACAGAACAGTCATACAGATCTGCTTACTCTGTTCTTTCCATGACCCAGGGAGCGTGTGTTCACGGCCTTCTCAGTTTTATTGAAAGGTTATTTCATTCGCTGTTAACAAACCTGCCGTTCCTGGATATTTGACATTTGTTTCCAGCCAAACCACGTGTTTTGAGAAACATCTCTGTACATTTGTTGGAAGCCTGTCCGTCAGGAGCTGTTGATTGTTTTCTGCAGATATCAAATTGAATTAATTTCCCTGTGCGAGGCAGGAGCAAGGCGCTCCAGGCAGCACTAGTCGACCCAGATGTGACTGGAGTGATGGATGTTTGTGAGCCAGCCACTGCAAAAACATGTCTATTTCAGTCTCCATTGTTTGGCACTCAGTCGTCACTGTGTATGCAGAGAGCCGGTGAGTGTGCTTAAAGAAAAAGGATTCATAGAATAAGACGTGTTTCCTTCCTTTCTCTCAGCTCGTCCACTTCCACCACATATTCCTGCCCTTCTTTCACTTTCCTCTCCCAAGACACCAGCTCAATCACAACCTAGTTGAAAAAAAGTAAGACAAATAATGTCTTTGATGGCACTGAATCTGGGATAATGATATAAACGTGTTGTGGAATAGTTGTGGCACTGTGTGGCTCCTCCTCCTCCCTGTAATACTAGAGCTGGAAGCTTGAGCCCTTTGAGAAGCACTTGAAGCCAATGAGGCTGCTGTGAACAAACAAAGCACATCAGCACCAAACAATGTTACCATCTGCTCTGCAGAAATGGGTCAAAATGTACGAGCTGTGTCAAAACACGCACAGAGGGTTTTTGTCTCGGTGGAGTCGACGACGTGGAACTGCCTGGATGATGATCTTCAGCTTCCTTTGAGAAAAAAAACAAAACATGGGATTAGTTTATTGACCTGAAACCACATTTGAATGATGCTGGGAAAACAAAACATTTGCAAGAGTGAACGGTCCAGTTGAGTGAATGTGTGTTTGTTCGATGTAGCAACACAACGTGAGCTTTTAGTCAACAGCTGTGTTCATTGAACGATTTCTGTTCCTAAACATATGTCTGGTTGACATGCGACCTGGCGATTTGCACCTGTTTTTAAGCTGCTCTGTTATTCGAGCTAGCCTGTAGCTAGCTAACACAAAAAGTTTTAGACAGAGCTGAAATCACCATTAAGGCTAAACAAATGTAATAATTATTGAATTATGAATAAAAAGAAGAAAGTACATTTTAAAAGTTGCTGTTTCTTCATATATTTTGCAGCATTGTCCATGGGTTTGTGAAGGTGATAGGTCATGCTGTTTGGGAGGACCTTAGCATTGCAACATTTGGGAACCCCCGTCCTTCTCTGTCTTCTTTTTAAATCTAAATGTAACCTGAATTTAACTGAACAAAACCCAGTGCAGTGGTTATGGCCGTAAAATATTCAGGAACATGTTTATTGACACTATCATACCTCAGTGCTGGATTCCTGGGAGATGCCACAGCCTTTTCTTATTAATACTCTGTAATGACATTTTTTAGTACTGTATATAGTGTTTTGGTTTGTTTTTTGTGATTTTTCACCCCTTGGTGGGGACTGCCCCCCATGTTGGAAACCACCTCTCTGACAGGAAGAAAAGTGTCAAACGTGACAAAAGAACCATGAGACGTGTGAATTTTGAGTCTACAGTAAAATTGCTGATACATTTAAAATCACTATTAAAACACTGGGATTTTTTTTTTTTTGTATTATGTTGTATAAAAACACGTTGGACTTGTGCTGCAGGGACTTTCTGGTGACCTTGGCTGGCTGGCGAACAACAAAACCCCTCATTACAGTGTATTATGGAGACGTAAATCACACTGAAATGCAGAGGTTGAGGGGCGAGATCAGCATTCATGGGAGCCATGGTGACAAAGTGTTAGGTTGCACTCTTTCACCTTTGAGAGGAGAACTAGTCAATCAGTGACATGTGACACTGCCGGCCACCTGTCTGACTCTGCTAGGTGTCTCCTGTCAGACGTGCCTGTAGATCCAGTTAAACACTGGACAGGGTCGTTCATTTGCCAAACTTAAAGAACAACGTGTGCCTTCAGTAAACAGGAGCAGCATTTTGACACCTGAACACAATGTACTACTACAGCAAAGAATCAGTGTCAATACTGCTGACATACTGCTGCCGCTACTGCTGCTGCACACAGGAGGCGCCGTTAAGTATGTGGATCCTGTGGGGCTCAGACCCAGGACCATCCTCATATAAGGCAGGCGTGATAACTGCTACAAATTTGAGTGTTTTCCCTGGGTGGACTCAAACCAGCAACCTCTCAGTTTACAAGTGAACGTGCTAACTGATTAAGCCACAATTCTAATTTAATACTGAACATTAAGCGACCCCGAGACAAACGTCCCACATCGTGGCACTGGTCAGTTGCAGTGGTGGTTAAGGTGTTCAGTCAGCAGTGTGTCACTGACTGCTGCCAGGTCAAATTGAGAACAGCTTCAAAGGCTCTTCATTGTCTCTCTGCTAATTGTTCCAGTCTCCAGACTCAGAGGGCTATTTGGTGAAAAACAAATACAGTTGCAGTCGACGCCTCGTCAACCTCCCAGGCATTCGGAACACAAGAAAAGGCCTTTCAAAGAGATTTCACATAATCTGTTAAAAAAGGAGGCACCGCCCTCCTCCACTCCCTGCTCATGAGGTTTGGCTGATGGTGGGTAAGTTCATTAGGTAACATGAAGGGAGGTTCTTTCAACCACATGCAAGTACAAACACATGATGAATACGTGCACCGTGCAAAATGACAAATGCAACAGACGGCAGCAAACGGTTCAGAGCCTTTAGAAGAGCGGCCACGCAGGTCACATGATGAACTGCGAGACGGCCTTTATTTTGCTCTTTTCAAATCTTGTGTGCGTGCAGCGACCTGTGGTTGTAAACCGCCTCGAACATCTGTGAGAATAATGGGGTCTTTAGTGAAGACTGTTTCATCTTTCAGGAGGACATTGGTTTGAGATGTGCAAAAAAAAAAAAAAGTTTCCATTAAGGTTGGGTTTCAATGTAATTTTGGCTCTGATTTCAATATTGTTTAATTTTTAAGGTGTTGAAAAACCCAACCACAGAAAATGCAACAAAACGAGGCCTAACGAAGACAACGTGATCAGGGCTGTTGGAGACACCCGAGGGACAGGTCTCAACATGGTTTGGTTAAAAGGGACACCATCTTTGACCTTATTTGACTGTAGCCCAGTTTCCTGTTTTCAACCAACTGCACCTGTTTTTTCCAGTCCTTAGAAAAAAAGAACTGGACTGAAAGAACGGCCTCCAAAACTATTTGTTGGAAACCTTATGTAAAATTATTGTCGAATTAATAAATTTTAACATTCTGCCAAAACAAAGTTGGAATTTTTTTTTGTGGAGCACCTCTGAAACTCTCTCGAGGGAAACAAAGTCTTCTTTGAAATGCAGCGAATAATTACTCCCACGTAATCGACGGCCCGCAGTTCAGGGCACTGTAAATGTGTGTATTACGGCCTTTTCCCCTTTCCCTCTCTCCAACGTCTACATTTGCAAACACGCCACTACAATGGTCTCTATTTATAGAGCCTTTCAGCTCAGATATTAACTCTCCGCAGCTTAGTCTGCCACTTCCTGCCAGAAAGGAAATGTGGATGCCTGTGTGTGCGTTTGTGCGTTTGTGTGTGTGCTCATGTTTTACTGACCTCTGGGAGCAGCCAGACTACTGTTGTTAGCAACGGGATTTTGTGTTTACAGCATTTTGTGTCGAGTTGAAAAAGCTAGGTGTGAGCCGAAGTCTGATCCTCTCACCGGGCTGTGTCTTTTTTTGTTTGTTTCCGTCCTTTCAGTCCGAGGCCTCCCTCGTCTTCCTCTGAACTCAACCTGGTTTTACAACACCTACGACGTCTCATTGTCTGAAAATGAACACTATTTTCTGTTTTAGCCTCCCAGGCCAGGTAACAGGTTTTCTTTGAGGGAAAGCATTCCTCCTCTCAGTATCTGTTTCATGTCATGTAAAGAAGAATGCAGGCTGTTAGCATCTGCTGTGTGTAGGTGTGTGTTTGTTGAGTTCGTCTGCTTTCAAGGCTTTGATTGTCGGAGAAGCTGCAGCTGGCCCGAACATCCTGTTTTTGGACGTAAACATTGTTAGGCTGCTTTTTCCTTTTAATGTTGGAAAACTGCCTCGTCGTTTTTATCAGAGCTGAAGTATCACCCTGGGACAGAGTCAGACATCGCAAGAGGGATATGATAAGAAAAAAAAAATCATGTTGTTTTGTTTTCCATTCAGGTCAACTCCAGTCATTCTTTCAGACTGGACATGAATGCACCACATTTAGACTTCCTGTTGGTAATGTGTACTTTATTGGCAGCATGAGGACAAAGTAGACATAGACTGTCAACTGGGATATTATGTCCACTACTGTCTTCACAGTAAAGTAAGAAATACATCTGACCCATACTGTATATATTTTAATGTGTCCTCAACATGTGACATATTAGCAGTTAGCATAATAGCTATCGACAGCTCATCCAATCCACCAACTCCCTCTTACCAAACTAAAGCCTGCAAATATAGTGTACTTTTTGATTGGCTAACAGTAATGTATACAGCACTACTATGTTTTGTTGGTTGTGTTTTCGAAGATTAGCCCACGGATAAAGTTGATAGCTGTTAAAAATGCGTAACAGTTTTTGAATGCTAACACCTTCACTTTAGCATTGTTTATGTAAACATTTTTATTTATTTCAAATTTTTAAAAATATTTATTTATTTCAAATGTATTTGTAAGGCAAGAATCACAATTTACAATGTAATTAAGTAAAATATTAGGCTATTAAAAAAAACACCACTAGTTCTGCTCTTATGTGGCGTGTTTAATTTACAGCGATCCAAAGTCTGCCGCATATTAGCAGGTTCCTGAAAATTAAACTAAATATCCCAGAAATCTGTTGTGCGACGGGTATCTTTGTATTTTGGGGTGTTTGTATCCATATTGTTGCTGAGGTTTTTTAACTTTCTACTGCAGTAGAATACAGAACTGAGCACAGTGTACGTGTTTACATGTACTTTCAAGACAGAAAACCACAGTTATCTGGTTCTTTTTACAGTCATTAAAACACAGATGGATGCCTACATAATTTACAGTACTCACCAAGCTGTGAAATGTTTGAATGAGAAAGGCCTTTGAAATGTAGTGCAGGAAGTGAAAGTGGGGGAGTGAGTACAACCCTCTGAAGACCATCTGCAACTTTGCAGCTCGTTCTGTCTCGCGATGCGACAAAGCGATCCTGACAAGTACCTCCCTCCAAGTTCAAAAGCTGATGCAGTCAATAACAAGTGGGAAACAAAACCAGATATGAGTGCAGCTTGTAAATTTATTTAATCTCCACGTCGTCAGAAGAAAGGCCTTGAATTCCTGCTCCTTCACAAACAGCTCATAAAAAAAAAAACACTTAGAAAAATATACACTGATATTAGAACTGGAAAAACTCAAGATTCAGTGTTGCATTCAAATATACAATTTGCATATGAAGAAACTACAAAAAGCCAGAAATGGTGACTTCAGATGAATCGATGGTTACTTGGACACAACCGCCACAGCAAACATCCAAAAGAAGGCACTGCTGATTTCCAGACTCGTCATAAAGCTTATTGTGTCTACATTCAGGAAAACAAAGTCTGAGTTTAACTTGTGCAGAAAGGTGAAGGGCAAGGTCAAAGGTCAGTCCATGAGAAAAGCCTTCTTTATTGTTGACACCGGGCGACAAAGTCCTCGATACTCTAACTTTCTCAGACTAAAATTAAGGCTTAAAGTACAGGAGAGCCCGGCTACTGCTACAGTGCTAGAGACATAAGATTAGCTGACTTTGGAAAGGTCATCAGGTTGAAGAGACAGAAGGGGGCTGGAAAGTTTTCTTAAGACTAACCCTCACTTTCCTACTCCTGAGTTAAACTGGACACCCCCGAAAAACAAACACGAAGCACTCCCTGCTTTTGTAATCACAACAGTGAGAATGTTTTAAGGCATGTGTGTCATTAAGAAGCCAGTCATCAACAACGTACTTGAATCTTATTAGTTCTCATTTTAACACCTCTTTTCTACACCTTCTTCCTCTTGTCCCTTTACAAGAAAAAAAACAAAACTTCAACTGTTTTTCTAAAAGCACTTTTTTTTGTTACAGCTGTCCTCAAACACAACACCAACATCTCATAACCTTTCACGACAGTCTTTTAAAGTCTCCTGTAAAGTGTTCAGTTTTTTTCAATCTGCTCCAGATCCAGCTCTCCTCCGAGTTGGAAAATGTCCCTCTTGGTGACACACTCACCCTTCCAGAGGATGCACTTCTCACCCATGATGCCCAGAGGAGACCCAGACCTCGAGTCGACGCTACAAACTGAATCGCTGTCCAGCTCGCCGTAAGAAGAATCCTCTTCTTCATCGTCGTCATCCTCCTCCTCATCATCATCATCTCCTGCCACTTCCTGCCGTGACTCCAGTCCAAGCTCGGACAAAGTTGGAAAGTTGGAATTCTCTTGGCTTGAAATTTGGAAAGAAGGAAGCTCTAGGTTTGTCCCGCAGCTGTCAGTGGCCGAGCGTCTGGGGTAGCTCAAGCTTTGAAACGTCTGAAGAGTCTGAATTAAATAAAAAAGAAGAAAAAAAAAAGGTTGGTGCCTCTGGTTCATGTTTACATTCTGCCGTCAAAATATGAGAATTTCTTGCAGAACCGTTTTATGAGAGCAGACTTGAAAAGCACCAACTGAACTAACCCACATTCCAATTTGTTTACCCACCCTCCCCCATGGCCTGCTTCGAACAAATGTGGATAAATAACAATTACAACAGAGACAAAAATGACACTGTGTCAAGAATGACTACAGACATAGCACATACTTGAAAGGAACTTTTCCTTAGTGGTGGATTTTTGTTACTGCTCCTTTAACCCCAGACCTAATGGGTGAGGGCTAAGAGCTTAAATCCTAAAAAAAAAAAATCAAGGCCTGAGCTGAGGTTAACATGTGCTGCTCTGTGTTGAAAGTTTGTTTGATTTGTGGCTCGTGTTTGTGTGGCCTATGGTTCAACAGTGACCTGTCATCGGTTTTATTTTAGCTTTTTGTTTTTCAGAAATATTTCTCGCTACAAAGACCAGCAGCTACACAGCCCAGTCAAAGGGTTAATGATTTCTGGAGTGACCCAGCAGCAGATGTTGGAGGCATGGAGGTGAATAGAGATGAGGTTTTCACTATTCAGCCTCGTCTTTCATCATGCACAAGCCCACTGTTTCCTTGCATGTGTTGGACATCACTTTTCCTATTACAATGACGTGGGAGTGACCCGACGTCGCCAAGTTTCACAATAGCACGACTGCCGTGACTCAGCATGATCGAAAAGAATTCTAGGAAAAAAAAAACCCATCTAGGTAAGCCCACTCTGACATGGCAACTCCCGGAACACACGAGCTCTGCGTCTGTAAAGGTAATAAAGCAAGGAGTAGTGATTTGTTTGTTGGAGGGAACTCACAGGAGGAGGAAAGGGGGATTTCTCAGCATTTGTTTTTTCCTCCTTAACCCCTAACATTACCCCACTTCTAATTATCTCAGAGGAGGAGGAGACTGAGAGGAGAGAGGGAAGGGGGTGTAGTGGGGTGGGGTCTCTGCACAATATGCTTTCTATAAACTCAGCTAATGCAGACTGGGATTTAGATGGGCGTGGCTGTAAAATGGGGGAGCGGGACCAGATCACTGCTCTGTGCCCAGATTCTCTCAGAACATTCCCACTCATGTGGCCTAAATCTATGGAGTCAAATGTTTACATTCGTGTTCATTTCCTGGAGGCTTACCCTAAGACTCCCAAACTTAACTTACTTGACGGCCTTAACCATAGCCGATAGATAAAATGTAAATGTGCGTCATTTGGTAGAAATGTCTGCGCAATATACTTGGAATATTTCTGCATTGTTGGTTTTCATGTGTTCCATCCCCATAAAAATGATGATGAAGATGATGATGAGGTAAATTCTATATAAATGTGTGTTTTCTCACTCCACTATCCTATTATCTCACAGTAAGACGATCACTGATTGACATCACTGTCACTTTCTTCCTGATTTGTGCCTGTAGTGAACTGGCAACCCAAGGTAAGCACCAAACAACTCAACTAGGTATTTATCTCTGACGTTATCTCTGACGTGGACAAACTCAACTAGGTATTTATCTCTGACGTGGACTAGACACCTTCACGTATAATCTGAAGGCACAAACAAAGAACGATGATGAAAATCAGGTCACGCAGTGCGAAACTATTTTCTACTCTTTGTTTTAGATCAGAAAACCGATGGGCCAGCTTGACACGGGCCACGTAAGAGAGCGTCACCTCGACTTCACTGTGACGGATGGACAACATTTCTTCACGCCTCCATGTCAGTTATCAGACACTTTGTATTTGATATTCACTGTACCATTGAAGAATGTGGAGCAGATACAGGCAAACGCCTTGAGATAAGATTTAAAAACGCAAAAGTGCAACCAGTTCAGGTAAGACGTGCGGCCAAACTTATAAGACAAGTCGCAACTAGTCGCTGCGCCGCACGCCCAAATTGTCAACTCCGCACCTCAAGACAGACACCCGTCTAGGTAAACCCACAAGCCTGTGGGGCTTGACGCTTAGCAATGATCACCATGTCTGCCATGCCAGGAATGGGGTGGAAGGGGGGGGGGGGGGGGGGGGGATGGCTCCCCTTCATAAAAAATTAGCCACTTCCTCCAGTCTCTCTTACACAAGTAGTCCCCTAAAATGGCCCCTAACATTTCTAATGCTATGACTTATAAATAATAACAAAAAAAAGATATAATTTTTTTTATAGATTTACCTAGCTAATATCCACTGACAATTTCCTTAAAAGCAAAGAATACGCCCTGCCCTAAAATTAAGAGAAATGATTTCCATCCTGGCGATTCACATCCTGCTGGGCCTAGGTACGGCAGCCAGCCAGGGAAAATACTGAGTCATAGGACTCAAAGGGACTGAGTACTTTCACAGGCTTTTGGGGAGTGTGTGTGTGTTAATCCCAGAGGTATTCTTGTTTTAGCATGACATGCATCCCCAGTATTTGCACCATCCTTCACTGGCGTGGTCAAGGAATCCAGCAGCAAGACTCACACTACGTTCTACTGACAACATACGCAGGGGACTCGTTACAAGTGGACGCACACAGTTTAACACCTCAGTGGAAAGTTCTAGTAGATTAATTTAAATGTTGCATTCATTTCCTAAAATAAAATACCTGCACTTTTTGAAACATCTGTAAATCATTTCAAAATACATCCATATAAATAGCTTCATATTAAGAATGGTATATTCATGTTTGACAGTTTATAATTTAATATTATGTTAGTGTACTTTTCTGGTTGTTTTTTTCCTTGGTGCCTACAAATTATTGAAAATTATTGTAAATGGTCAATACTACACCCTAAAAAAATATAGTTAATTTTTATTATTTTATTTTAATTGCTCATGATCCCATGCAACAGGCCATGAAGTGGGTCTGTTTGTAGGAATTAGGGACAAACCGGTGGGGATCCTGCAGAATATTTGGGTTTTAGTAATAAAATCTTCCACTCTACCCTGACATCCAAGGCCTGGTGCAACCGGAGTTAATGTAAACTAACTCGCTGTGCTAATGTGTGTTAGCACAGTGAGTGCCTGATTTTCCTCTCTTTACAGCTGGCATGGCTGGAGGAAACATGCTTGCTAGACTTCATTTACAAAGCCTTGTTGATCCAACTGGGCTGGGACCTGAGGGTGAAAGGCTGGGAATACAACTTTTTGTAAAAAGGAAGGAATTACTGTGGCACACTCTGGTGTTCTTAGCATAAAGACAATGTTGCTCCAAACAGGAGGAACACGTCCAGGAAGATCTACCAGGATTAATGAAAGCTAGGAAACATGTTAGCTTGGTGTCAACATCTGTTCTTACTTCATTTTAAGACCATGTAATTAATACTGAAGCAGGATTATATCTTTGTTTTGAGGTTACATAAAAAAAAGGAAAAACTGCCAAATGACTAAATGGAAAGTGATTTGAAAACTGTTTTTTTGTCTGTTTTTAAGGAAGGTTTAAGGTTTTGAGGAACATTATGCTACTTTCGATGTTTCCTCAGAGAAAAAAATAAACTCCAAAATCATGACAAATTAAATTAGCAAAAATTAGAGGCAAAACCGTGGGGCATAGAAATCGTAGGCGGGAGATATTCTTTCGAAAGCCGCTCACAAAGTAGAGTTAACGAGATGACGTACTGGAGCGGGGTTTGTTGGAGTGTGTTGTGAGGCAGCGTGACTAACCATGAGGAATGCAAGTTTAGTTTTAAAGCACCACTCCCTGAGCTGGAAGGAAGGAGAGCTGCAATCGTTTAGCCCCAAAACCACTGACTAACTAACCAAACAAACAAAAAAAACAAAACAAAAAAAAAACAACCTCATTTAATTCAGTCCCTGATCAGACTCTGGGGGAATGACCCTGTTACATCTGCTGCTCTTGTACTTGGTCTGAGAACAAAAAAAAAATGTGTTTGTGTGGTAACTGCACTGGGCGCAGGATTTAATGAAAGGAGCCCACTTGACACAACTAAACTACTGATGATTTACTGTATATTTCATTATTAATCATAAACACAGATAAATAAAAAAAAACACATTCACATGAGTGTTTATTAATCATAAACACAGATAAATAAATAAAAAACACATTCACATTTCATTATTAATCATAAACACAGATAAGTGTTGAGTGCCTTGCAACGTGTATGTTTAGTTTTCCTGCTAACCTGAGTCATCTTTGCCAGGTCCAAGGAGGGACGCTGCTCCTGCGCATCTTCCTGTCTCCTGCGTTTCATGCCTATCTTTTTGTCATTAAGGACACAGGGCTGGGACCTGCTGCGAGACAGACAGCCTGAGCCTCCGGCTCTTGGACCAGCACGCCTCCCAAGTTCTGGGGTGGAATCAGGAGAACTGGCCTCGGACGTCTCTTCCCTCTGCAGTTCCGGCAGGCTGATCTGCTCATGGGAGAGCGAGAGCGGCCTCAGAAAGTGGTGATGGAGTGAGTGGTGAAGGTGGAAGGAAGGAGAGGTGAGGGACACGGGGGAGGCGGTAAACTGAGGACAGAGAGGCAGCCGCTGGTTGAAGAAGGGCAAGTCGAGAGAGCCGTCGGAAAAGACGCCGGAGCATGAGGGAAAGCTGAAGCTGGAGCTCCGCTGAATGGCGGGAGAGTGGCCGCCAGAGAATCCCCCTCCTCCGCGAACGTTGCCCCCACTGTGGCACCTTCGTTTCTCAACTGTTGTCCACACTCGGGAGCCCTGAGGCCTCCAGGGGGAGCGGAACCCACTTAATTCATCAGAGAACGACAGGGAGCGACACTGCCGTTTGCTCGGGGGTGCTGTTGGAGCCTGGCTGGTGGCTGTAGCTGTGTAGTGTGTGGTGGGAGATGTATTGCTGGAACAGGGACCGGTCACGCTGCCGTTACCAAGGCCCAGATCTCTGATCAGACTTGTGATCGCCGTGGCACTGCATGGTTCCTTGGCCCAGTGTTGGATTTCTGGCTCGGGGACTACGTCCCTCAGACTGGCACCAGTCTGGCAGGGAACTCTCTGCTGGACAGCACAGCTTCGCCCCAGATCCAGCCACCTATCTGCCTCTGAAAGTGTCAAAGGGATACAATCTCACTCGCACGGCATCTCAAGCAGTACTCTCCTTAATACTTCAAGCTAGACTACAATGTCTAATATCTAAAAAGTTAATTATATAGTAGTACACTTGGTTCTTCACAGGCACAAGCAGTCATACAATTAACCCAAGAACAAGTAATTAGACGCTGCAGAGACAAGTTTCTGGGAAAAAGGGTGTTCACTCTCTTGAGCCGAGAGTGAAAAAAATATTTGTAACTTAAAAAACAAAAGCATATCCTGTGCACCTGAAGCCGTTTAGGACATGTACAGACCGCACTGCACAAGAAGAGCTTGAACTTTTCTTGAGAAAAATGTTCACTACGGGGCTTTAAACCACTTATTTAATCTGAAATGGTTTGAGGATGAATGATGGGACGGTTGAAAATTCAAGTCAGAGACAAGGGTTTAAAAACTGAAACGTCATTTGAATATCTTCAAATACACGTCAATGGACTTCAGAGAGCTCTGTGTCCTGTTTTCAGCTGTCCGATGGTCCACACAAAGAGACTGTAACACAACAGTGGGAGATAATACACCTACAGTGAAGTCGGGAGAAAAGGCAGCTCTCGGGCTACTGAGCCAAGAGGGTTTGATTGGGAATCCACTAAAGCTTTTGTCAGACACGGACCCTTGCACATCGGAATCTCATCCCTTTTTGAATGCTTGACTCAGAGAAATCATTGTTCTGGGCGGACAAACAATGAACGGGGGCTGCAGTGACGACCTGACTGGAATGTTAGGAAAACAACTTGACAGACGGGGGAGAGAGATACACTTCAAAAGGCCAGCCTTTGGAGTTGAACTAACACGCCATGTGAGACAATGTCAAAGTCAACATAAAAAAAAAAAAACAGTAAACTACACTCCTAGCACAAACGTGACCAACGTAACTTCAAGACAGGAGAGCAGACAGCGAGACAGAGACACGTTTATTTACAGAAACATGTCTTTTAACACTGGGGGTAATTACTGCAGCGCTAACACGGCCAAAAAGGAAATTGTTGACATAGACAACAGCGTATTCAATTACTGTTCACTCCCATGAGAATGGAGTATAATGCCGTGTGTAGGGCAGGTGCACCCTGATCATGAGAGAAGGGGGGGGGGGGGGGGGGGTGAGTGACAGACAGAGAAAAGAAGAAGTGAAAGACCAAGGGAATTAACAAAGAGGCCGTTGTGGCAGCGATCTCTGACTTTGGTGGTCTAATTAATCTAGGGTGGGGGGGTGATATTTATTTTATAACAAAGGGCACACCAACCATTAACATTAGACTGTTCAGGGCTTTAAACAATGTGAAAAAGGAAATGAAGAGAGAAAAAAAAAACCTTAAAGGCAGAGGGGAAATAAAAGGATGGAAATAACCTACCCACAGACCCACAGGAGAAGAGGGTGGTCCCTTTGCTCATGGTATGGAGCTGTTGCTGTTGGTCAGAGGGATGCAGAATAAGTTAGTTACAGGACACTTTAATTTAAAAAGATTTTTTAGTTTGCACAAAACAAAAGTTCAATATGGTGCAATTATCTTTTTTTGTGTGGATATTTTTACCATTACTGTAATTTTAAACTTAAGATGTAATTGTAAAGGACAATATGATTACAAAACATTAGATGTACTGCTTACTGCTCTACTGAATGTTGAAACATGCAAATCATTCTTTGTTGAAATGTGGCACTATTTAAAGAACAATTGTGTAAACACGTTTTTTTCCCTATAAATAAACACGTTTCCTAGTTAAACTTCCCTAAGTGTGATTTCTTAACAGGCACCACACAGGGGTTTTAGGATCATTTAAGTTTTGGGGTGTTGACCTATTTCATCATCATTTAAAAGAGTAATTGATACAATTATAACTCTAGTATTGAATGGCTAGCTGAAGCTAATGCTAATGCTGTTGTTGTCAGGCAGAGCTCTGTATTTTTATCAAATGTGTCAAGTGTTTGTTTTGAGGAACAACAAAGTCACATACTTCTCCATCTATACATGTGTTGTTTCAATTCAATTAGATGCAGAATACATTTAATTCCTGCTTCAAAAGAACTTAAAACTCCAGGCTTGTACATGTTGCCTAACTGCAGTTCCTCCATCTTATACACACTTCTTCTTAAGAGTTATGACCAAATAATTCTAACTCATTTTACATAATTAAAAGGTATTAACTGTATCTTTAAGAATTGGGTTTTGTTAACCTTATAATAATTTCTATGTACCGTACCACTGATGATCGCTGTTAAGCCCCAGTTGAGTGTGTGACTCATTGGTATCTAGAAATGAGGCAGTGGCTATGGAGAGCAGCAAAGAAGTACAGGAAGTCTCGTCAAACATTAAATTACCAACGTTGACTGATTACCAAACAGTGGTTGAATATGTTTAATTATATTGTGCGTGTTTAGTACCTACAAAGGCCCATCACTGTCATCTGTGCCTATGTAGTTCAATGACTTGCCTGTTCACTCTGCAGACTTGTTTGGTACATGTGAGATTTTGCGACAATCCCTAAATGCAACGATAGATCACAACAAACCGGTTTGCTTTGTGCAACACTGAGAAGGTTACGTTTCTCTCACCAGCTGTCTCTCGGTGTTCCTGGGCCTTACATCATTGACACCCTTCTTCTTTTCCAATGTTTTGGATAAAATGATCACCATGGTAGCACACAACTCTGCTCTAATCTGGTTGAATGCAGGAGGAGGCCGTGAGCAGCCATCTTAGACGAGGGTGGAGGGCAGAGAGTAGTGCATGTGGGTGAAACAGGCGACCCGTTGATGACCTCCCATCTGCAGGGCAGACATGAAGGGCTGATGGTGGTGGTGGAGGTAGGAGGGTGTCACTCTCACTACAGCCAATCCCTGTGTGGATGCAGAGGGAAATAAATAAGGGAAATGAATGAAGCCTTTCTTCTAGGTTAAAAAAATCACTGTTTCTACAGGGAGGGAAACTTTAGAGATTTGAAATGACTTGTCATGAATCTACACATCAAGAAAACTATGTGTTGAGGCCATGACAAATCCCTATAAATTTACCTTTGTGCTTTCCATTACTGGCCATACATGAAGGACTGTGGTTACTGGGCCTTGTCCTGAGCCAAGCTATAAACTGACGCAATAAAAGTCTCCATCCACACAAAAATCTGCTTTGGTTACTGTAACTTTTCCTTAAATGTTTCACATTTCAGGGATGATGTTGACGCCAAAAAAAGAAACAAAAAAGCCATTTTGAAAAAACAACTATGTACAATACACCAGAGCAAAGTAGGAAATAAGGCACAGTCTAAATGACAGAAGTCATAGATTAAAGTATTCTTTGCACTGTTGGAGAGATTATTATGAGTTGAAGACAATATTGCTTCACTTCTTTAAAAACAAGAATGATTGGTGTTGTTCAGTGACTCACTGCACTTCAATAAACCTACTAATTCAGCTGATTTTCAACATAAAAAATACCAGGTTATAGTCGCTTAAAAGATAATCTTCAGAGAATCCGGCGGTTGACGTCTGGTTTTCATATGTTACAGTGACATACTGTTCATATTTTTCCACTGCTGATCTGTCACGTGAGCTCTTAACATTATACAGCCATCTAGAATGGCTGGGGAGTTTCCACACGCTGTCAAAGTGACTTCTATGGATGACTTTTTTTTTTTCTCACAATTGTTCTCTTTTCAAAAACCGTCAACCCACACATTCAGTGTTTACCACCTTCACATGTGCAGAAAACAGCAGCATGTTTTGGTTTAGTTTAGTTCACTCACCCAATGTATGCACCAAAGCGTATAATAATATTAAGACCACATTACGTACGACCACCGCCTGATCACAGCTGCTCTCACGTGCAGCTGTGATCAGCCCAGAGTTTGCCCATAATGCAGCTGTTGTCCAAACGCAGCGCCGTTTAAAAATAACGCTTCTCTCGAAGGTTTCCTGCGGCACTGACACAAACAATACGACTACCACTGCTGCTGGGAGCTGCCCCTGCTAGTGTTGCCTCCATCTTCAGAGGGTAGGAATTTGAAAGGCCGAGACCTATATGTGATACTACATGATAATGCAGGTCAACTGTATGCATATGCACATTCTGTTTGGCAGTTCAAAGGCTACAACACTGCTGGTAGAACATAATGGAAAGATTAGCATGATTTGGTTGGTTTATCTTAAGGTGAGACAATCTTCTACTTTTAAAGAGTCTCTCGATTAAACCTTAAAGAATGTACAGTGTGTGTATATATATATATATGTATATATGTATATATGTATATATATATATATGATTTTTTTTAATTAACAGATCATCCCTTATCTAAATAATTTACATATAAACATATAATAATTACATATAATAATTTTATAAATTATTTATTTATATATATATATATATAAATATTTTACTAACTTTTTAGAAATACAGAAATGGTTGATTTTGTGTGTTTATCCTTTATATATTTGGACTATTTGGGGCAGCTGGAGTTGCCAGAAGAACACCATGCAAACTTCTTATGGACCTCTACATACTGTATTTGTGTACAGGATGCTAGCATCGTCGCTTGAAAACAGAAATAAATCGTTGCTGAGGGATCCAAACCAGACTGTGAAAGAAGATCAGGTTTGGTAAATCTGGAAAGGAGATTGACTGTGGTTGCAGATCACGAATAAAAAGGAACCTTATGTATAGTGTAGGGTGTTGTGGCTGCTCACCACAAGCACATGAGCAGATGTAACAAACAAAGAGTAACTGCTGCAGTAAACACTGGCCTTCGAAAATCATCAGGGGAAGTACACGAACGGCAGATGGTCCGTATGCCTTCTCATTGGACAAACATACCTTGTCAAATCTGCTCTGCGCAGAGGTTTTGACGCCGTTTGATTCCTGGGAAACAAGTTGCTTTTATTAGCTAACCACCAAACACTGACATGTTGAATTAAAGAGTATGAGGACGGCTGGGCTCCCCCGGTCGTTTCTAGTTAATGACAGATTTCTAGAGCGGCGCTATGCCTAATGCTGATGGATCTTCCAGACCTACTGTGTTATTCTGTCTGTTTAACATGTGGTTTCATGTTAAGTGAGGGTTATTGCACTTACATAACATTCTGCTGAACGAAGGATGCAAGCGAGCACCGGGTTTGATATTAGCTCATCTGAACACAATGGAAGGAAAGGGATAAAAGACGAGGTGTCGATGGAGTGTTGTTCACACAGATTTGATTTAACCGTTTTACAACCAGTCACACTCACTAGTCACATCTTGTTATTTCACCACGTCCTCTGAATGTCTTCCATCTTCTCCAGCCCCATGACTACATGACGACTATAAATGTTTCATGTAGGCCTGCCCCAAACCAGCTAGTAGCATATGACTCCCATTATCTCCATTTATCCCAGAAAGTTACTGGAGCACAACTGGGCCTCAGCGTGCAGGAGGGACTGGTGCTGATGGTGGGAGGCAGGGGAGAAGGGAATGTTCTTCCTGATCAGTCTTAAAGATTACTTTACTGAGTAGGGCTGACACTACATAATGACTGCAGTGTGTGTGTGTGTGTGTGTGTGTGTGCGTGTGTGAATGGGAGTAGGTGAGCGTGACAGTTACTGCATGTGTACTGGCTGTTGCGCTGTGCTGTTTGACTGATGGAGTTAGGAAGTGTGACGTGTTCTACCAGCTTAACGGTGAGAGCACACGAACACACACACACACACACACGTTTGTGTGAGCGTCTGTGTCTGTAAGAGCATGCCTGTTTATGTGTGTGTGTCTGTGTGTGTGTCGGTGTAATGACTGGCAAGTGGGGTCATGGGAGAGGGCAGACCTAGTGTGAATTCAGCCTTGGATCCATGCTAACTTAATGAACCATCTACTTATGATAGGGAAACATGAGCCTAATCGAGTGACTGTTGAGAACTTCTGCAGCGTCCGCACTTATCAGAGAAGCTGTTTCATTTCATAACTCACTGCTAATGAAGAACCAATGTTATTTGACTGTCACATGGTGTACTACCACTACTACTACGACCGCTGCTGTGGCACTTTCAGTGTTTCAAGAGTTCAAAGGTCAAAGCACAGATCCACGAACGTTAAGAAAGAATACAGTAGTCATATTTCCAGTATCGAGTGTGTTCTGGGCAAAACTCTTACACTGTCTGACGAGATGGAGCCATAAAACTCCGACTGGATTGGTCTCTCAACATAAACCATTCCATGTTTCCAGCCAACACAACAGTATAACAAGCTTGTCTTACTAAATTTGACCTCCACTGTGAACTAAAACCCAATAATTCTGGTCTGATTTGTGCATGCAGGGGTGCAGACAGCAGCTCCGGGTCCACAATGGTCAATGATTCAGGAGGGCACTCGAAAGGGCAGCTAAGATAATGTGGCTCTTTGCCCAGACTGTGATTTGTACAGGCAGATGAATAGAAGCCTATTTGGGGCCCCGAAAGTTGTGTGACGGGGTGTTTGGTGTCCATCACCAATTGGCTCTGGTTGCTGCATACTTGAGCACAGTGCGTCTGGTGTCAAGACTTTGATCTGTGGCTACAGCTGAAAGAGAGCACTTGGTTTCATACTAATGAAAAGAGGACGACGCACAAACAAACAAAACCCTGCATGTGTGACACAAGGAAATGCTTCGGAAATACATGTTGCACTTTTTAAAACTCATTCTGTGTTTTTAATCAGTAAAAGATATTCTACGACGTAGGGCTTTTTATGTGGCATGTAGCCGTCATTGGGGATGATTAAGAGGAAAGGGTTTTTCTTGAGTAAAAGTCTGCGACGCAGGCCGTTAATTCAGGGTGAACACACAGTCAGCAGTTTTTCATACAAAGTGACCAGGGTCATAAAAATGGTCCTAGGGAGGTCAACACATACCACTGACTCCTCTGACCATCACCCTAGCACCCAATGGCAGGGGAACACTGGCCAAAAACAACATGCCACCACACCACTAGATCTTCAGAAGTGCGTAATGAAGTGCTCTCTCCATCAAACCCAGTGCATTGTGGTCAGGTTTTGGCTTCCTCCTGCATATTCCCCTGAATGTTGCTCTTACGACGGTGACCGCCCTTTGAATAAAACCCCGCCGGCGCTCACAGTACCTGCCGAGGAAGAGATCCACCAAGATAATTCCGTTTGACTGTACTGTCACTCCTGACAACACTTCTGCAATAAAACAGAGGCGTGACACATGACTCAAACAACTACTCGAGTGTGGACGCAACAGTTAACAAAGAAGTTCGTCTCAGTGGTTAGCAGGCAAGAAGGCACACCAACACACAACACCCATATGAAAGCCAACTTCCCTCTGCAATATACCAGTGCCGCTTCCTTTGTGGTCACATGCTGCTGCTGAGCACAGGGTGTGGGACATACAGATTTTATTACCAAATTCATGCAGAAAGACAACTCAAGTGATCTTTACAAAGCATTGTGACAGTGTTTTGTCACAGTGAGCTTTCGGAATAAGGGTAAAAAAAAAGAAAAGTGGGACAAAGCTCACTTCACACATTAAATTAACACTGGTATAATTTTAAGGCTGTACTTGTGACATTTCAAAATGTTATTTAAAAGAACAACCTCATGTGAGGTAAATTAATTTATTTGCAAATGGAAAAACAATTACCTAAATGCACCAAATGTGTTTTAGTCTGATTCTATACATTAAATGTCAGTGGTCAGATCTAACTCTGCTGAAGCCATCTTGAAAATGTCATGTACCTATGACGAGTGCACTGGGGAATAGTTTTTGTTAGTGTGTTAACAAAAACAGGAGAATATGTGGTAATCCAGGTGAGGGAGTGGTGCCTGGCTCTTAGTTTCACTGTAGATTTCCAGAGTTATTTTTCTTTGTTCTCACCAAAGCTCAGAGCCAGCACACTTTTAGAAAAATTATTACCGCTCCTCGACTTGTACTTTATAAGGTGTAAGAAACCATCGTACACTCTCAGTAAATGTGTGTTTATCCGACCATGACCTAAAATAGTTATCAGAAATACTGAGAAACTCAACAGGCGTAACATCAGGTGTTTCTGTTTGAGTACAGGGACCTCTGGGGCCTCCTGCCCCCTGGACTGACCTTCACATGCCAGGACTCTCTATACATCAGCTACCCCACTAATTACACCACTACCCCCACACCGTGTCTTTCAGACTGCGGTTTCTACCATTATCCATGTGTGCCTGCTCTGTTCTGCACACACTAAGCAGAGCCCTAATCCATCAGGGATACATTACATGGGAACCTCCATTGCCGCAAGCAATCCTCTGCAATGGCTCAGGTCAGCTCAATTAGACAACCCTGCTCCTTTGTTGTACAAACAAATAATATTATACAATTGTCACTACCAATCAGTCAATAAAGGGTCGTTTGGGTTGTTATGCAATACCGTGCTGTGCAGGCAGTGTTCCTTATTTCATTCATTCCTGCCAAGTTCACTTTGGCCATCAGAGTGTCAAACACTGCAATGCATAATGCAAGACCTCTTAGTCACAGATCACAGGTGTATTATTTTTGTGGCACAACTGCTGACACACTGAACTGTTTCTTTGTGAAATGTTCCGTATCCTAGGACGGGGGTGTCCACACTATTGGCTATGAGGACAGCTATTCAAATGACCAGGCTCAGTTGATCTACTTGGACAGAAAACATTAAATATATATTTACTCATATGAAATCAACATATAAACATACAGTATGAACATAATATGTTGTACTGGTTAAATACATGTAGCACTATGGGAAATTATTATA